CCAACCACATTATATATACGACCGAGATGGCATATGAAAACATTCCTGAATCATGGCGACAAATACGCCCATTAATTTTGCTACTATATATTATCAGTTACGATATTTACATATATTATAATATCAAAAATATAATTATCATTAAATGCGACTTATATCATAATGTGATTCATATCAGTTTTAAAGCAAAAATAATTAGAGAGAGAGAAAATTAAATTTTATATAGCAAATTTTATACCGTAAATTAAATTTTTTTGGCATTTTTTATTATTAATAATAAATATCTAAAGTATAGTATTAATAAATATTATCAATACAATAAATCTAACATTAATTTAAAATAACAAATTTAAAATTATAAATCTAAAATTCTATACATATATAATTTTATTTTCAATGTAAAATTGATAATGCTATTTCATAAAAAGAATTTCTATGTTGAATATTACATCACGTCAAAACTGCTTTTCATTATTGATTTTATTTTGTGGCAAATATCAAATTCATCGTTAAATTGTTTATTGACCGCTGATTGATTGATACCTTGCAATAATATAACTGAGCTTGCGAATCATATATGTGTATATATGTGTATATATGTGTATGTATGTATATATATATATATATATCATTATATACTAGAAATTGCGCAGATATCATTGTGATAAGGGAATCAAAGTCACGATCACGCGAAGGAAAGACGTGTGCCATTCCTTACACAATTTTATCTCATGATTTATGTGTGGCCGATCAAGTAAAGCCAATATCCTTCGTTCAGCGAAGAAATCCACCGAGGTTAATCGTCATGTTACTTAAAAGCTTTCTCGCCATATATACACACGTATCAATTTACGTTTAAAATATCACTTCTCTGAAGCTACGTATAGAAAATAAAATCAAAATTTTTTTTCATCAATATCTTCGATTGAAAATTACATTCGACGCAGTAAATTGAATAGTGTTACTTAGAGCTTACGTTTAATTTAGACTTGATGGATAATGTAAAATATAGATATTCATTTTAGATGCTACAAGTATAAATCGCATACGTATCGAACCGATATGCATCGTTGAATATATATTACAGTTAATCTCGTTATAGCAGTAGACCATATTAGAAACATCAAGTAATCATCGCCTGATGTCGCATAACTTATCAATTAAAACGTACTTATCTTATTTAGGTGTTTGTAATCATATTTTAAAAAGTTTCATATTTTAATATTATAAAAAGATTATAAAAAAGATAATATATAAAAACGATATCAATATTTATCCTATATCTTAGTATCCTAATTTTAAATATTCTTTAGAGAATATTTAATTATCAATTGTATTCAACTGGATAAGGATCCTAATTTTAAATATTATTTAGAGAATATTTAATTATCAATCGTATTCAGATATTGGATGAGGATATCAATAATTAAATATGTATCTTAATATACAGTTTTTTGCAGAAATAAAAATAACAATATAATTATCGCCATGCGGAAAGATATTCAAATATATGAAATTATATTCCATAAAAAAGTGTGAATATATGTAGTTTATATCTTAATTAAAAAGATTCCTTTTCGATAAGTTCGTATACTACAAAATTTATTTTAAAATTCGAAAGGATATATTAAACAGCAAAAAAAATTTCGTTTTATCTCTTAATATCTAGTATCTTAATATCATCCTTAAAAATTTATGTAAATATGATAACCAGAATAATCAATTTGATGGCTTATGCAATTGTGCAAAATAAGAAAATATAATATCGATCAATATCTAACTCGAGAGAACCTTTATATCAATATTTTTTAAAAAAACCTGATATCTTACCGTTCCATTTATTTCACTATATATACAGTGTTCTAGAATTATTATTATTTTGTAGCTATCTTTCAATTCTATGTATGTACTATGATGAGCTTTTAGCAAAATTTGTCTTGAGATGATTTTTTCATTATTTTTTTAACATATAGTGTCTTATCATATTTACATAACAGTGTTCAATTATTTTCTAATTCTCACCCAAAATTGTAATGTTATTAAATGTTATTAATTTATTAAACTTTCTTAAAGTTAATTAGTGAAATTAAAAAACACTTAATATTTAAAAAATTAATAAATCATCAATATCAAAACAAACAACACGTATATCTGTGAAAAAATTATTAATTATTTACTTTGTGTAATACGTGCACAAATTATCGATTTAAATTTTGGTAAAACTGACCGAATCAATATAATTCAATATAAAGGATATATAATTAAAGAGTAAAAAATACAGAGGTGTAAACGCGTGCTAACAAATGTATGACGGGAAGGTAAGCTGAGAGCCGGCGAGAGCACGTTGCGATGCGGCCTCGCCGCAGCTGATGTGTCGCGACGTCGCGCGGATCCGCGCACATCCGAGAACGTAGGCGTAACACGAATCAGCCGGTATTAAATTCACAAGGATGAGACGAGGCGCGAGGGACGACAGCGGGATCGCGAGACACGAGAAGAAAGAAAGGACGGACGGAGACAGATAACGGTAATCTCTCAAAAGCGGTCGCGGTAGGGACAGTCATCGCGGTGACGCAAGTCGCAAGGCCGTCCGAGCGTGACCTTAATGAGTAATCGGTCCGGCAATTTCTACTTCAGGCTCGACAATTATTCATGTATTCGTACGAGCGATCCGCGAGATCGCGCACTGTCAAACGCGTGTTGGCGCGTTTCGACACGTCTGACGATAAGCGACGACGACGGCGAAGGCGAACGAACGACGACAATGACAGCCGTCGCGGATGGGTGGCGCGACGTTATCAGGACGTCGCGAGTCTCGCGACAATCTTCTGGACGACCGTATAAGACGATTCTCGCATGTCCCTCGGGTTCGCGAGAGCAGCTTCCTCGCGGGCGATCCATCATCGGCATGCTCGGGCCACGCGCGCCTTTCGGTCGCGGACGACGTGCAGCTGCGGCGATGCGCGCCGCGTGTCTCGCAACGATTACGCGGGGGCGACGCGTCGCCGCGATGACATTCGCGGCTCGGCGATGTCGGATCATCGCGTGGCGACGGGATATCAACGGATAAAGGGCGCAACGCGCCGACAAATACCTCGTTTTTCGACGAGCTCCGAAATCTCCTCCCTGTTGTCGGCCATCTTAGCACCAGTCACTGACTCACAATGCACGCTGGGTAAAAACTGGTGAAAACAAACGCGCCGTCACCGCGCCGCGGCGCTTCGATACGCTGCGTCAGCGCCACCTGCCGAGTCGCGACGGAGGCACGCGTCAGCTGTGCGGCGTCTGTCAGTTGCGCAGTATCGTAGCTACCTGACATTTATTTTGTAACGTACTTATGACGCGAGCGAACGTTTTTCAATGTTGTGCTGCTACGTATTTGATCTTATCTTTTCTTGTCGTCAATCTTATCTGATTTTTTTTGAGGATTTTTTTTTACCTTTGTATTATATGTTACATACACACACACATATCATAGCCTTCGAAAGCTTGGTATATTATCTCTCGATTATCACCTAACTGCTGACTTTTTGCTAACCTCATTGCTATTCTAAATTCTAAATAACGTTCTGTATTCAAAGAATTTTAAACAAGCATTGACAATATTCTTGTCTGTATCTTTTTTCATTTCAATTCAGAAAATCACAATTTATCACGACTCTGATAAGTGAATATATATTTTTCAACTAATCGCAACAAATATAAAATGAAATTTATATTATTATATAATAATTTGTGTAGTATTTATTTATATATTTATTTTATATTTTATGAAAAAGTATGGAAAGTTTAACTTTTTCTGTATTTCTACGTGTTTAGCTTATGCAATACATATTTATTTTACAGAACTAGGTATTAAATATTCATACATTTCGTGCACACATACTTCATGCAAATTAAGTCTCATATCTTAAGTCAATTTAATCATTCCCGGCAAACTACGTCATATGAATATTTGTGTGTTATGTAATTTTCCAACATGTATGCATTGTATACATCAATTTCCTCACCCCACAAATATATTAAATATTCTTATAAAATTATGTGTCATAGTAGCATCTTTTCCTGGAAATTTCTAAGAACTAAGAAACAAGATCTTAGAAACAGTTGTTAAAGTTCCTTTCTTTTAATTCTCTTTCGTTTATGCTTCGCTTTTAATTCATGTTTGAAGATACTTTTATGATTCAATCCTACGTCACTAGCATTAATATCTTCCCATTAGGCAATTTAAAACAATTGTGTCAGATAGGTCGGATGGAGAAATTCATACTAACTTATTTCGATATAGTCGACCATGTGATTGTCTCGACAGATCCGTACTTACATATAGATGCAATATGTGTCGCTTTTCTGGCACACGATTTATTTTTAATATTGATATTCGTATAATAAAACAGCTGCAAAAGCAAATAATTTATAAACTTTGTTATAATTATCTATAAACTGTATTATTTAATTAGAAAAGACCTTTATATCATTTATTTTTTTTTCATTTCTTATTTCTTTCCTAATGATGGACCTAACAATATAATTTAATTACTCAAATGTGATTCCTGATCTAAAGAGAGTACTGTTAAAGGAATTCTACGCATGCGCAGTTTAAATACATGTTATTTGAGTAGCGTACATAAATCAATTAAATGATATTCATGATTAAAGAATAGTAAATAAAAAAATTAATGACATAAAAATCTTTTATAATTAAATAATACAATTTATAGATAATTACAACAAAATTTATTGCATTTGTGGCTGATTTATTTTATGAATACTAATATTAAAAGTCTTTATGTACCCCAAGAGCGCCATATATTACATTACTGACCTGTCGAGACAATTATACTATAGATCTGTTCTTTATAGCTGAATTGAGTTGTTTATAGGTGAATTTTTTTTATTCTACATTGGGAGGAAAAAGATAACTAGTGTACTCTGAACTCTGAACTAGTGTAGCCTAGTGCAGTCAGTTCAGCTATAAAGAACAGACCTTACATCACGTGGTCTCCTACGTGGAACTCTACGTTTCACGGACTTGCCCTCCTCGGACAAGTTAATAAATATCCCTCCATCTGATGTCACTGAAGCAGTCTCCGTGTGGTTTTCGTAGAGCGTAGTATTTTGCAGCTCGTAAAAATGAGTGATCATACCGTTGTAATTGTCTCGGCTGTCAGGACACCCATAGGTAACCCATAGATAAGAATGATATATAATATAATTGTCACTAAAATTAAATGCAGCAATTTAAGACTATCTTGTAAAAAAAATTCATTCAGATTATATATACAATATATAAAAATATAATTATATGTACGAGATATAAAAATATACTTATATACAGAATATTGTATCACAATATTATATAATAACATTAATATTTTATAAAATTTAATATTTTATAATATAACAATAAAAAATTTTAAATAAATAAAATATATAATATATTAAGGATTTCAAAAAGAAGAAATTTAGCTTATTTGAAAATTTATTTAAAATATTTTTGTAATAATATGTAATAAAAAATCTTTAAATATAAAATTTTGCAATGAACCAATTTCTATTCTGTAGGATCATTCCGTGGGAGCTTGTCTAGCTTGAAAGGATCAGAAATGGGAAGTATTGTTATTAAGGAAAGTCTTATAAGAGCTGGATTAAAAGGAGAAGAAGTTTCCGAGGTCATCATGGGCCAGGTATTTAATTTGCATAAATTTAGAAATAATAGAATGCATATATTTTCAAATTTATTTAAATTTATAAACTAAATTTGTACCTGAAACAAATATATTAATTATAATTAACATTTGTTAACGCATATTTTTATCACATATTTCAGGTCCTTTCTACAGGGGAAGGTCAAAATCCTGCAAGACAAGCAGCAGTCAATGCTGGCATACCTATACCAGTTCCTGCTTATCAAATAAATATGTTGTGTGGCTCTGGTCTAAGGTATGCATCTATAATACAATGTGCATCTCTTAATACATAATTTATTTTGAATAATATAAAACTATATTATGTACACAGGTCTGTAATAAATGGTTATTCTTCTATAAAATCAGGAGAAAGTGATATCGTTGTAGCTGGTGGTCAAGAAAACATGAGCAAAGCACCACATGCCATTTATCTCAGGACTGGTGTAGACTTTGGGAATTGTAATTTAGTTGATACATTATTAAATGATGGCTTAACAGATGTCTTCTATAACATGCATATGGCAATCACAGGTAAAATAAAAATATTACAACTGAATATAATTTTTATTAAAAAAATTAAAATTTTATACTAGCGTCATATCTTTTTACTATTTATTCCATTATTACATTTTTGACAGCTGAAAATATTGTTGAAAAATATGCAATAAGTAGACTGGCACAGGATGGCTATGCGAGTAAATCACAGCAGAGGGCAGAGATAGCTATTAATGCTGGATATTTTGATAAAGAAATTGTTCCAGTAACTATTACAGATAAAAAAGGATCTATCGTTGTATCTAAGGATGAATTCCCGAAATTTGGAACAACTGTGGAGAAGCTTGCAAAATTAAAGCCAACATTTAAAGCGGTACGGTAAATATTATTTTCTGCAAAATTTCATACTTTATAAAAAAAAATTCAACATTTGATATTAACATATTCCATTTAGAATGGTACAATTACTGCTGGCAATGCATCTGGTGTAAATGATGGTGCAGCTGCTGTAATTATCATGTCTCAAGAAGTTGCTGCAAGTAAAGGAATTTCACCATTAGCTAAAATTGTTGCAGTAGCACAAGTTGGAGTTGACCCTAAAATTATGGGTATTGGTCCTGTTGAAGCTGTTAAATTAGTCGTTAGTATATAATACGTCTGTTTTTTGAATTAATTTTATATTATGCTAACATGTAAAACACGATTATACATATAATTGGAAATACATTACACATTATACATTTTATTCTAGTTGAAGAAAGCAAATTGGTCAAAAGAGGAAGTAGATTTTTATGAGTTAAACGAGGCCTTTGCAGCACAAGCAATTGCATGTGTTCAAGAACTTGGATTGGATCCCGAGAAAGTGAATGTAAATGGCGGTGCTATTGCTCTAGGTCATCCTCTCGCCATGTCTGGTATATTGAATTAATATTGAAACTTTTTTTTACAAAATTTTTCTACAAAATTCTCGTAATAAAATTTTTCATTATATTTCAGGAACAAGAACATTAGTCACCTTGTTACACATTTTAGAAAGAACTGGAAAGAAAAAGGGTGTCGTATCATTGTGCATTGGAGGAGGAATGGGTATTGCTATGGCTGTTGAAAGAATATAAGTAGTTTTTTCTATTTATATATAAATCTTATATAAAGAGAGAGAGAGTATTATATTTTTATTAAAGTATTTCTCGATAGTAATAACATTCCTTTATGCTACATGTTGAATAATGAGCAGACATTTATTATGAAACTATATATAGAAATTTACAGTGCTCAAGTTGCTGTTTACTTAAACATGCAACTAGTAATGTATTATCCTGTTCTTTCTTAGAACAATGATGTAATTAAATATTTTTACAGTATATATTTTGCAATATTTTTACACATAATGTATTAAATACATATAATATATTTAAAAAAAATTAAAATTTTACTATGCTAATTTTTTTATCTAACAAAGTGTAAAGTATATTCAATAAAAAAAAAGTAAATCAAACTTATCATGTACATGAATATGTATAGTGATTAATAGCACTCAAATTCAAGGACGACTAATAATTTAAATCCATTAAATTAAGTCACAAATATCATATATTATTTTGTGAACTGACTTTTGGTTTCTCTACTTTCTAAAATTTGTTCTACAGCCTCGAGGCTTTCCTGTTGCCTTTGCTGAGTGCGTTTGTTCTTAAAAGTATATTTTGTATTCTTCATTTCCTTTGATGGATAGCTTAAGCGTTTTAATTGTTCCTTGATAGCTGGTATAATCCGTATCTTAAATTATAATATGATTTCATTAGATATTATCAATACAATAATCAATTTTTATTTCTGAATGTTTTTATTAAAGACTATTATATCTATATCATAATCATAATATTAAAATGTCTCAAAATATTTTTATATAAATATAATTATACCTTAAATATATCTTAGATTTATAATAATATCTAAAAAGATACGAATATTTTTAGCTTTTAGTATTCCTTAGATTTCCTATATAAGAAGAAATATGAAGAAAAAATATGATTTTTGCTATAATTTATACAACATAATTATTATTGTCCTTTATATATTACATTCCTGATATACTAAGTGGAATGGCAGGATAATATCCACAATAAGACTTTCCATCTTTACTAAAACAAGGAATAGGTTCTTCTAATGGTTTCTGTGTAACTAAATCGATTTTTGGTATACAGAGTTTGGCATATTTTTTTATTATATGTCCAAACAAAGAATCTACATTAACTGTTGAATCTTTCAAACAAAAGTAAGATCCCCAAAACTTTGAATTCAAAATATTCTCATCTGGATGAATCAACCCATGATAAAGCATCCCTTCTGACATTTGTTCCTCGATTACAGCTAATGTATCACAATGTGCATATAGATTCGGTACATAAATGTCTTGTATAAGATTATCGCCAACATATAAACACCGTTGATCCGCTTTTCCTGTTATACTAACAAGAAATTCTGATAGTTCGTTCCAATTCCCTTGGCTATATATTTCAGATCGTTTTAAATCTTTGCTTGTAACACAACAACAAGTTTCATGGTTGTTTATAACAGTGAAAAATGGTCGATTATTAGCAAAAAAGCCAGGTTTCTTCGCATTACATATTATAATATCAAAAAGAGACTGCCAATCTTTACCAAGAGCATAACTGGCAGTAAAGGTTGCAAAATCTACATATGATCCAGTAAGAAGAAAGGTAGCTGATTTTTTCTTTATTTCTCTCAACCATGAAATTGTATTTGGGCTACATTTATGCAAATATTTCTCTGGACTTTTTTTAATGTCGCCAATAATCCCTTTGTTCAAATGAAAATTGTCTTTAGAAAACATGTATATCAGTCCATCCAATATATCAGGCCAAACATTATATTTATCCAAAGAGAATCCACTTTCTTCATCAAGCGTATCTATAGTTCGTGCAAAGACAACACTTGTCGGAATATCGAAATAATCTAAAAGACTTCTCATTTTCTCAGACAAAGGAGGATTCCAGGTTGCCAGCATATCGTTGCAGAAAGTATCTATAATTTCCCATTTTTGTTCAGGATATATTTCCTTTATTTTATCTGTATTTAAGAGATGTGATCCATGGCACGCTCTGCGAATAACACCATCTGGGCTCACTCTGAGTATGTTTCCCCTTTCAACATCTAACAACAATCCTTTTTGCATGAAATCCAAATCATTATCTGTTAATGGCTTTAACAGATGCTTTGCACTGTATCTCCGTTCATTCACCAAAAATTTAGCTAATATCTCATACTCTCTATGCACCAGATTTGTAATATTGTAACGCAGTAGAGTGTTATCCAAGTCGAAACCAATGCAATCATAGTTGGCGAATTTGAATGCATCCATATTACTTTTAATGGATTTAACAGATCCTTCGAATTTATTAAATGCCTTGGAACTGTATTGATAAGAGTTTATATATAAAATCGTGCCAAGTAATGCTTCTGTTTTACTAATTACATATGTATACACAGGAACATATCTACATACGTATACTTTGATAGTACTATGACAAGGACGCCAGCCTCTAATCATATCTAAACACAATTATCTTAACAATACGTTTGTGACGAATAAATGTACATTAGTATCTTCAAATAAATCCTTCAAATAAATCCAATTATGTCAAATATAATGCAAGTCAATTGTCTCAGCACAAGAAATCAGATTGAGCAACCTTGAGATACTAAAAATACCTGAATCCCTTGCTAAGATTTTACTTCGAAGTCGAATGCTATCTTATCTACCTGTCTGAAGTCGAATGCTATCTTATCTGCCCGTGAAAGTTAAACAAAAATTATCACGATTATTTCTAACCTAAATGCAGTGCATTTCGGTCGCGCTAATTATCGCTCTCAGATTATCACTGAGAAAAAATTACCAGACAAGAGCGGGAAGAGATAATTACATTTTTTAATGTACTCACATGCGGAGGAATATGAACACAACGAATATTTCTCGCTTGTACGAAGAACATGTCAAACTTGAAGGAATCCTCACGTGGATCCGTAAACACACAGTCCCTCATCACGACATTCATGTATCTACAAAAAACAACAAAAAAATGACGTATTGATAATATCAAATTGATTCTTGTAATAAAAGAAAGACATCGTTGATTAATTTTGACATACATTATTTATAAAACAAACTATTCACAACAGTTACACACATATTATTGACGAAGCACAAATTCCTTAAATACAATAACTATTTGTTGTAAAAAGCGTGAACTTCACGTCGGACTGATAACGAAAACATTACGTACGCGTCGGTCTGTTCGACGATGCCAAAAATCGATGCTTCGTTTCGCAAATCTATTATCGTTCGTTGCTTCTCTACAGCCTTCAGCAGGATTGACAGACTATTGTAGAGAAAATGTCTCTCACGTTTCGAATCCAGGGACATTGTGGACACGAAGCTAAGCTAAAAGGAGCGAGAGCGCGCAAAACACGTAGCACGTTGATCGACCAGCGAGGTCGAACTGACAGACCCACGTGGGAGACCACGTGACCGTCGCGCGCGGAGTGCGCGCGTAAATCTCGATCATTTGTATATATAAAATATATAAATATATTTTGCAGCATACGTTTAAAATTATACATGTTATAAATATTAGAAACGCATTGTATGTTATATATATTGTATGTTATATATCTTACTGAAACATTACAAAGCGCCTGCTCATTTAGTTCAAGAAATTTTCCTTCAAGAAATCCTCGAGATTATATTATACGAGCCATTACTTAAAAAATTTTTTTTCTTTTATCTCTTTATTCTTTTCTACCTCTTATTCTTTAATCTAGATAAATCGGTATTAGATTAAGAAAAAAGTTATTAACTTGATTAATCGTTTAATAAATAATCATTTAATTTGTTAATTCCTAAATTAAAATACTTCTATAATTTAATATTTTATGTGTATATAAGTATATGTTATAGGACGTAAAATTTGACAATAAATTATCAATAACATTATGTTCGATCTTTCCGATACAAACGGTAGCGCGTTTATGTTTACATCTTATGATCTTGTTATCATTCGCACGATGATTCTCAAGTAATAAAATAGTGGTGAGAACCGCTTCGTATATTGTAATATTTTTACTAAACACGATTACTATAAGTATCGAAACATAATTTACTATAAATATTAATAATTAAAAATTAATTATCTTTTGATAAATTACATGAACTATATCGCAACGATAAATATTTATCGAATCGTAATCATTATTGCGAATAAAAATTGAAACAGGGGATACATGAAAGGGGACAAGAGAATTAAATATATTATGATCTTTTGATCATCGATGCTTATTATAATATTTCTTTAACAATATTAGAATTAAATATATTTCGACCAATGTTTTAAATATTCTCAATCCTTGTTTTAACAACCCTTTTAACCTTAATTAAACAATATACAATTTAATCAAGAATCGATTAAATTATAGGAATCCAAAATATTAAATAATCACTTCGATCGTTGCGATTTTTACGAACAATAATTATTATTTTAATATTTAAAGTCACAAATATATTTCATCCGTTATTTTATTGTTTTACTTGACAAGCTAAATATAATTTGGATTGTGAGAGAACACGAAGTAAAACAATCGAATTATAGATACAAATAATTAGCATAAGGAAAGACTCCGTGATAAATTGTTTAATATAATAAATAATCAATTTTAATCAATAAATTAAAATACTTCCATAATTTAATATTCCGCTTGTGTATATTTTATAGCATATAAAATATTTCGGCAATGAATTATAAATAACATTATGTTCGACTTTGATGATAGACAATAGCGTGCTATTGTTTGTATGTTACGGTTTTGCTATCATTTGTTCAGTGATATTCGAGCAGTAAAATAATGATGGGAAATGCTTCGTATGTTAATTAATTGTTTAATAAATATTAGTTTAATTAACCCATAAATTGAAAAACAATTTAATATTTTCATGTATAACAGTATATGTTATCGTACGTAAAATATTTCGGCAACAAATTATCGATAACACGGTGTTCGACTTTGGCAATATAAACAATAGCGCGCTATTGTTAATATGTTATGGTTTTATTATCATTCGCATGGTGACACTCGAGCGATAAAGTAGTGGTGCGAAATGCTTCGCATATTGTCGAATTTTTTTTTTAAACACGATTACGATTAGTATCGAAACATAATTTGATATAATTACTAATAATTAAAAATAACTTATGATAAACGTCATGAAAATGTATGGCAACGATAAATCTTTATCGAATCGCAATCATTAATTACTGCAAATAAAAATTGAAAAACGGAACATAAAAGGGGATAAAGAAATTAATTTTATTATGATCTTTCGATTATTGATGCTTATTAATAATGTCTCTAACGATATTTATTAGAATTAAATAAATTTCGATCAATGCTTTAAATTTTCTTAATCGGCAATCACTCGTAGAATATTTCAACGACGAATTATAACAATAACATAGTATATGTCGGTCTTGGCGATATAAACAGTATCGCGATAATGTTTATGACTTTACGATCATTCACACAGTAAACTTGAACAATAAAGTAGTGACATTTCATATATTCTTAAATTCTCTCTACATAATCAACCTTGGCGATATAAACAGTACCGCGGTAATGTTTCTGACTTACGATCATTCGGTCAATGACTCTCGAGCAGTGAGGTAGTGATGTGAGACGTTTCATATATTATCAAATTCTTTCTTTAACAACTATTTTGAACATTGCTTCATATAATAGATTTTCTCTTATCTGTTATATTTTTATTTATCGTTTAGATTTGCGAATTAAAATTTATATAGTATATTACAAAATTAATTATATATTATATTATATATAAAATTATATATAATATAATATAACCCTCCCATGGGGTACACCTTGTCGTGGTGGGAGGGCTTAGTACCTGGACGGTGTCTTAAGGTTTATCTTAAATTTTCCAATTTATGATAAATCTTAAGGTGCCTGAATGGGAAGCTAAGTATCCTTTCGCGTCGTCGGTGCCGTCAACGTGCCGCGGACGGCAAGCGCTTCGTCAACGCGTCGCGTTAGGTATATACATATTAGGGAGTGCCGTTAAAGGTATATACATGTTAAGTATATACATCGCGCGATCAAATATAAAATTTTTAATCGCATCGAAATAGTGCGGGAGTGCCGTTCAGTATCGCGCGTAAAATAACGAAAATAGCGATATAAAAATATCGCTCGTGAGTGCGGGAGTGCCGTTAAGTATCGCGCGTCTAAGACTGAGAGGAGGAGGAGGCCTAGGAGAGGCATCAGGCTCCGCAACCTTCTGGTAAGCATTTTATTTATTTGTAATTTATAATTGTATTAAATATTAAATATTAAATATATTTATTATAATTTAAATTAAACAATTAATCGCAACAATTAATTTGATGTTTCTTATTTACATTTTTTATTTATATTTAAATAAGAGAGAATTAAAGAAAAAGATTTTTAAATTAAAGCTATAATCTTGTAAAGGTATAAGTTTTTATAAAGTTATAAGAGAATTATTAGTACTTAATGTTTTTTAAAATTTATAGAATTATTTTATTAATCTGCTATTATTATATGCATCAAATATAAAATTTAATGTATACAATAATTTTTGAAATATTAATTAATTTAAACGCTGCTACATAAGAATCTTCTTTTGTATGTTATAGATCGATGCAACAACGCTGATCTGAGAGGAGGAGCAGGCCTAGGAGAGGCATCCTGCACCGGCGGAACAACCTGATGGTAAATATTATTATTTATATATTAATTGTTATAAATTGTTAATTTGTTATAAACAAACAATAATCCGATCTTATTATATAAATAAATTTAAAAAAAAAATTTTTATAAAAGTCATATAGAATTTTCTATTTAAAAAACAGTTTCAAAAATTTATAAAATTTTTGCATACGTGTTTATCTGCTTATTATTTTACACATCGGATATAAAATTCCGTACGATAAAAATTGTTTTAAATATTAATTGCATTTTGTGAGCATTATTAATGTAATTGTGAGTATTATAAATAAATTTTATACTTGTATGTTACAGACAACTAGCTTCGATAACAACAACTCCGCTGTTGCGCATCAGTGCCGGTGAGTGAAAAAAACTTTTATTTAACTTTAAGGTAACAGATTCGTACACAGAGAAAAATGTTGTATTCAAGTAAAATATTATTTATTTTAAGTATATCACAAGTTTGTATATCCGCAAATATATCATAAGTTTATCACAAGCATTAAATTTAATTGAATATATTCTGAATTTTAGTAAGTGCAGTATTTTAGTCAAGAATATTAAATTAAAACAAAAATTTGGTTTGCTTATTACAAGAGTTGACGTAAAATAAGTTTGATTTTTCTTTGATACAACTTTACAATATTCTTGAAGAGAAAATAAATTCTTCCTTTGAGTACATGATAATGAGATTTTCTAACACTTGTGATGAGTATATTTTAAGACTATTATCAAGACTTATTATATCAAGAAGATATTCTTTGTTGAAGAAAATTATTACTTAAAAAAAGAAAAATAAACTGAGCAATCGCTTTTCTTGGCAGTAGAATGATATTTTTCTCTGTGTAGAGATTGCAGATGTAGATTGTAGATTGTAGATAAATCCGTTGCCTTAAAATGGATGAGTTAGGATGGATTAAATTAAATAAATTAAATTAAATGATTAAATTAAATTAATTAGATATTATTAAATTAAATTAATAGATGCTTATTTTATTAAATTAAATTAATGCTTATATTATTAAATTAAATTAATAGATGCTTTGCATTTATTGCCAAAATATATTGAAATATTAATTTAAAAAAGAAGAGATCAAGAAAAGAAATTTTTGTAAAGATTTTTCGTCTAATTTATTAAATAAAGAACATGCATTAACAATTATCAATTTTATAAATTTTTGATGCTAATTTAGTCTTATAATACGCACTTATCTTCTAATTGCTCATAACTCATTCATCATAGAATTTGTTTGTAGATATTGTTTTTAAACTTTACTTTAATTTAATATAAATAAAGCCAAATGATTAATTAATTAAATAATTTCTAATATGATAAATATACACACATTATTTATATACTTTATTATAAGATATAATTTATAGAAATTTGTAGTAATTTGGCTTTATTTCAATTAAAACAAAGTTATATTCAGTATTTAACGAGCGATCGTGAAATCAAACGATCATTACTAAATGAGCGTAAATATTTCACGCTCTTTTGCCGGTAATTATCCGGCAAAAGAAGGAGTAATTATCTCCTTCTTCTCTGATTAGAGATCGAGAAAGAAAGTGGCCAGGATCAACGAAAGGTAGGTTCAACTGGTCTAAAGAGAACGGTTAGGATATTCGGTTAGGGCACGCGATTAGGGCACGTGACTAAAATATATATACATTAATAATTTAATTTGTAATTTATTTTGCGATGTGTTTTTTATGTAATTGCAAATTAATTGTAATTTACGTTGCATATATTATAATTATGTAATATATATTTTATATGTGTATTATGTTTTCTGTTTGGAAACTCTCTATTAAAAGAAAATAAAAATAAAATAAAAAAGAAATAAAAAAATGTTGTCCTCCACGATGTTTCTCTACCTTAACAAAGGCATTTGCTAGGCATTTGCTAGGGGAGGTTTGAGTATTCTCGTGAACCTGAGACCTATGCCGGCGATAATGTCGATATTCATATAGATTATTTTTATATTTAAAATCATTTTAAGTATATTCTTAGATCGCGTCTTAAGATTTCGTTCAGTTATTAAAATAGTTGTACATAACATTTGTAATAACATTTTCCAACTTACTTAAGACTCTTAAATATAAGAGTGAATTATAAATATCGGCCGTAATTACCGCCAGAGCCACCCATATCGGACCGGTCGAAGGAGAAAAGTCAGACTGAGAGAGAGATACTAAAATTATGTATTACATATGTATATATGCATATATATATATATATATATATATATATATATACAATTATATTAATATTTTTTAATAAATTGGAAGTAAAAGAGGTAGTAATTGAGAGACTAAGGGAAAAAAGATTACAGTGATTTGAATAGCTTCTAAAAATGTCTGAGAATAAATAGCTATAAAAGGTATTCTGATGAATTCTACAGACTGTAAATTTGATATTATCTCGACATTTGTCGAAGTCAATAATTCAATATTTGTCGAGATCTTTTAATAATAATGAAGGCAATATTAAAGGTTAAAAATGAAGATTGAAATTTGACCAATTAAAATAAAGAAATTTTAATTCCTTTGTTTTGATTAATCAAATTTCAATTTTTAATCTTTGATCTTCCATGTAATTTAATAAAAATGACCTTAATAGATTATATGTTATAGCTTATTATATTATATGATTATATGATTTATAGGCTGTGTATATATGACTTTAAATCATATGCAATAATAATTTCAATTAATTTATATTTTACTTTAAGAGACAGATTACAAAGATAGCAAAAGAAGAGCTGCTTTCTCTCTTTGACAAAAAGTAGCAAAATATAGTATATATAGTATATATAGAATATAAAATACAATTTATATATATAAATGAATTATGCGAGTGACAATAATTGTAACATGATTTTACTATAAACATATTATTAATTAATCTTGAAGCTCGCACTAATTCGGAAATTACAAGATGTTAACTGCGTTATCATGGGGATATTTGATTTGTCCTCGTATTATACTATCACCGTGAATGTTAGTCTATATATAGTCACTCATAGCCGTCATTGCTAGAGGAATTAGGTTACTTCCCAACGGATATACAAAAGGGTCTTATAAATGATCGTATCCTACGTACATCTAAAATAATCATATACAAGTATTAAGTAACTGTCTCTTTTCATCACAAACTATCACTTAAAAAATTAACAGTTTCGATAATTAATTTGAAAATATTGTTATGAAAATTCAGCTAAATATGAATATTATTTAATAATTTTCATATTTAACCGAAATATTGGAAATATTTTAGAAGAAAAAATAATTTTGATAAAAGAGCTCATCGATGTGATTATTATTATTACATCGGGAATACAAAGAGAAAAATTATAAATTTCTAATGTGTATAAGTAATATCTTATTATTTATTATATATTACGCCATAAGTATTTATTTTATCTGTCAATGTTTGCATATCTCGATACGAATTTATATAATATTTCGCGATTTTACGTCTCATTTTTCGGATCTGTGTGATGTAAGCTCTTATAAATTATGAGATAACATTCAACATTCTTCACACTCGTTATTGTTTAAGATTTCACTCTCGTTTTGCTTTTTTTTCTCTTTGGTTTATAATATATGCCAATATCAAAAGCAATGATTCTTCTAAATCAAATAAATCGATAATTTCTGCAAAACGCATCATAGAGTAGCGGCATTTTTCTCCCTTCCGACTTTATTATTTGGTGCCGTGCGACCCACCGCGATGAGTGCCTTCTTCCTGTGATCTACCGGTCTCTTTCTCTCCAATCGCGCATCTCTGTCTATCTCTGCCCCCTTTTCCCCCTTTCGATATGCGCCTTTTGCTTCCCTCACCCTCCCCGGCCTTCCTCGACGCGCAAAGCTAATCAGCTTCCTGGATGGGGCACATTATCTGCCTGATTGCAGGCAGATCCGCGGCGATACCTAAAGCCTACCGGCATATTTATCCGATCTCGACAACTGATCGCATGCGCGAAAAGCCTTGCGGATGTCATTCGCGCCCGCAATCGACGCAACGGTACAATGATCCTGAATGTAACAGATCGGGTGTGACCTCCTTTGGGGTCTTACCCCGTCATCGTTTCCTCAGGACCAGTGTTGGCTCTCGCACGCTCGTGATAGTTCCCGGTGGTCCGCGCGAAAGCATTGTGTGTCGCGATGCGCTATCAAACGATTTGCACGTGCTTCGATAATCATTCGCGAAGAGAAGTGTTGGTTTACAGAGTTTAATTCTGGAAAACGTGAATAAAAGGAAGTAAAATAGAAGATAAGAACAGAGGATTTTCTATAATCATTCTTACGTGGAGTAAATTTTTTTAATTAAAATTCATCGTTTTCTTTCGTTGCTATAAACTTAAAGAATGCTTAGAAACTGTTTATTTATTTAAATGCTTAAAAAAAAAGAAGTAAATAACTGCATTAAAAAGAATGATAAATGATAACTTTATTTTTTAATAATTTTTGATATAATATAATTTTATATATATATATACATATATAAAGAAAAATATACACGTATTTCTTTCGTACTTAATAATACAGAAAAATTGACATCGTTAATATCTGAATAAATCAAGATGATTCACGCTATGGAAAGATGTAACACAGTCGTGAAAGCTGCGGGATGAAGATTCGCAAAATCTATCCCGATATCCGTCGCGTTACGGAAGGAGACACCTCACAAAATCTTGAAGTTCCGGTGCCTTTGAAACTCAAAAAATGTCTTTAGGACATCGTATTTCTGGCGCTGTTGCGGTTCTTCGCGGAACCTCGGAGGTCAAGGAGGGTGGCCACATGTAAAAGATTTCTCATATTTTTATCGAAAATTCGAGTTGCTTCTCACTTGAGATATCTTCTAGGTCGTGCACAGAAGAAGATATCGAAAAGATGACATCGGAAGAAGAAGTCGAGGCGAAAGCACAGCGTAAAGTAACGGCACTTGATAGATTACGGGTGGTAAGCCTTCTAGAAGTATATAAATTGAATAAAATTAAAGGATAACATTTTTTTGCATATTATGCATAGCTTATGCATAATATTCTAAAAATGTTATCCTTCAATTTTATTCAATTTAATTCGATCATTTTTGCGATAAAAATAAAAGAAAAACAAAGTGAAATTAATTTTCTAAAATTTGTAAAATATAAGAAAAGAGAAACTAATATCGAGGGTGAGAAAAACTTATTAAATTTTACTGTGGAAAATATAGGTGATAAAATGGATGAAAAGTAACTTGCTTTTGGCATTGACCATCGCTGGAGTTTTGGTGGGTCTAGGTATTGGGTTTCTAGGGCGATTAGCCGATTTCGCACCACAATCTATAACTCTCATCAGTTTTCCAGGAGAGATCCTTATGCGGATGCTCAAGATGTTTATCTTGCCACTCATCATTTCGTCGCTAATCTCGGGTAATTATGAATCTACAATCGATACCACTTCATATCGAGGAAATAATCAATAAAGATACAAGAAATTTAATTATGTGAATATCTAATTATGTAAATATTATAAATGAAGAATCTAATTTGAAGCAAAATTTTTCACTGATGTAGCAGAAATCAAATTTAATGTTATACATTTAAAATTTTACTTTTTAGTTCGTTTTTCTATTTTTCATAGTTTCCATTGAAAATTGATATTTAAGGGATATATTAATTTCAGGAATGGCACAATTAGACGTTCAAAGATCAGGAAAGATAGGGGTCAGAGCGTTAACATACTATTCAATAACAACTATTCTCGCCGCCATAGTGGGCATCGCAATGGTGCTGATGATCCATCCGGGTGATCCGCAGATCAAAACTGCGGTCGCTGCAGTGGTGAAAGCCGAGGAGACGAAAGTCTCTACTATAGACGCGATTCTCGATATAATTCGGTATGGGAAAGCAATCTGTCAATTTCACGATCGTAATTCACTTTTCAAAATTCGCAATCTCTCGTTCTCAGAAACATGGTGCCGGAGAACCTAGTACAAGCATGCTTTCAGCAGGTTCAGACTTCCTATGTGAAAAAAAAGGTGGTCGTAATCGGCAATTTGAATCAGAGTGAGTACATAGTAGAACCGACCTTGATTTATAAGGACGGCACGAACGTGATGGGCATGATTGTGTTCTGCATTATCTTTGGCGTGCTCGCGGGTCAGATAGGACCTCACGGCAAGTTAATGGTGGACTTCTTCGTGGTTCTAAACGAGATTATCATGAAACTCGTCACGATCATCGTGGTCTGGTATGAAATAATACTGAAATAACTTATATTTGCATCATAAATAAAAACATAGAAACATAAATGTATTATCTATTTATAAATAAAAAATTTTATTTTCGTATCTTAAACTTTTCTTAAGAAACTGGCGGAAGAGAGAAAAAAATATATAAATTAATGATAAAAATATAAAAATTAATTTTGTTACATTTTTATTATTTGCTATTTTTCGTTGAACAACATAATCGACAATCGTTACAGGTATTCTCCGTTCGGAATTATGTGTTTGATAGCTGGAAAAATTATGTCTATTACAAATCTGGCGGCAACTGCTCAAATGTTAGGTCTATACATGATAACAGTAATATTGGGTTTAATGATTCATGCAATCATCACAATACCGACGATCTATTGGTTTATAACTCGAAAGAATCCAGCAGTGTTCTTTAGAGGCATGATGCAAGCCTGGGTGACTGCGTTGGGTACAGCTTCAAGGTAATAAACGATTTACTTTATTTGCATATTGTATATATATAAATACTTTCAAAAAATGTTTATATAATTAAATTTAATTCTTCACTGTTATCTTAAGATTGATTTCAGTCAAAGATGACTTCAAAATTAATTCAAATATCACGACAAATATCATGAGATGCATTCATATATCTATATGTTATGTAGACTGTTTAATTTTGATATAAATTAATTTAGATAAATTAATTTAATGAAAATGTAGCATAATTGAATAATGGAAATACAAATTTACAACTTTATAAATATCATAAATATTTCGAACGGCCCGTATTAATTTTGAGGCAATCTTAGATTTTTCTAGGAAAATAAATTAAATTTTCTTGTATCTATTTTATGGCTGAATAATTTCGAGTTATCTTTTAAGGTAATAAAATAAGATGTTGCTTCGAATGTTATGAATTTATGATTATAGTGCAGCAACTTTGCCTATAACTTTTCGTTGTCTCGAAGAAAATAACAAGATCGATCCACGAGTGACGCGTTTCGTCGTGGCAGTTGGTGCTACCGTGAATATGGATGGCACGGCTCTCTATGAAGCCGTGGCTGCAATCTTCATCGCACAATTGAATGGAATCTCATTAGGATTCATGGAAGTCATTACAGTCAGGTATGCATAATTCATAACGTTAAGTTTTTTATTATATCATTAGTTGGTGATATTTTATATATTATTAATAATGGTATTATATATTATTAATATTTTTAATAATAATTTATATGTGTGTGCGTATATATATATATATATATATATATATATATATATATATGTATATCCAACGAAAAGATGAATCGGAATGCAATCATTCGATTAATTAATTAAATATTTATATATATCGAATAAAAAAGCGAGTCGGAACGCAATCAGTCGAATAGTGAATTAAATATTTATATATACCAAACGAAAAGTTGAGTCGGAAATTGCATTCGTTCGATTAATTCGTTAAATATTTATATATATATTTAATTCACTGATTTTCCGATTCATCTTTTCGTTTGGTATATATAAATATTTAATTCACTATTCGACTGATTGCATTCCGACTCGCTTTTTTATTCGATATATATAAATATTTAACTAATTAATCGAACGATTACATTCTGGTTCGCTTTTTCGTTCGGTATATATAAAACGAATTAATCGAACGATTGCATTCGGCTCGCCATTTTACTCGCCGCGTTACAGTGAATATCGCGCGAGAGAGGCAGGCATCATGCGCGGCGTCGTGCACGATTTCGACCGTCCGTGACGAAAAACGGCCAATTTATATCTCGACTTCCGGACGTGATAGCGATTTCGTTCTTTTTGTATAAAATTCTACACCATTTCGCGGCACTACTGTTTAAATCTCGTCCCGATCGCCCGAGGAGTGGCTGACTTACAGTGAATATTCGAAATCTACTTCTTGGACTCACACTTAAGTGTAATACTACGAGTGCGGCGAAGCGGTGGGCGGGTCGCTCTCCGAGACATGATGGTGGTTTGCGATATATCGCAATACCGCGCCGAAAAATGATCCGTCCTTTTAGTGAGAAAATGATGCGCTATCATTTCCACACCACCTTGCGGTAGATAGCATGGTGCGCTTTTTTTATAGTGGTTTCCCCCATAGGCCTATTCCACTCTCAATTTGAAAATTATTCAAAATGCCATTAGTATACGCTGAATATATCGTAAATGTAAAAAATTAATAGTGACAGTACCTTTACAAAAATTGATCCGTGATTGAAAATCCTTCGATAAAATGTATTGCACACGTCGATAATGATACGATGATAAAATGCTTCAAGAATCCTTTCTTCATCTCGTACACGAAGGCGCACTGCTGGACCGGTTATCCCGATATTATGCACGACACCCAGTTTCACATAATTATTGCACAACACGTAAAATTGTACGGCCACTTGGTTTTCGTGCACGTCCGGAAAATAATTCCATGTAAATTGCGGTCGCACGATAAGTATTTTCTCCCGCTAGTCCGTATGCCACAATCATATCCGTATATTCCTGCAGAGTATACTTCATTTTCACTGTTAATTTACTACGCAAACACAAGATTTTTATTAAAACGTCTTAGCTCTCGCACGCTGTTACCAGACTGCGTATGCCAGCAGCACGCAACTACAGCTGACAGCTGAGCGGACAAGTGAATGGAAGCGTAGTGTGAGTTCGACGCCTGCGCACTATGATTACACTCACAGTCCGCTCAGCTGTTCGCTCAGCTGTAGTTGCGTGCTGTTGGCGTACGCAATCTGGTAACAGCGTCGAGTGATAAGACGTTTTAATAAAAATCTTGTGATTGATTTTCGTTCGATATATATAAATATTTAATTAATTAATCGAACGATTACATTCTGGTTCGCTTTTTCGTTCGATATATATAAAACGAATTAATCGAACGATTGCATTCGGCTCGCCATTTTACTTGCCACGTTACAGTGAATATCGTGCGGCGTCGTGCACAATTTCGACCGTTCGCGCGCAGACGAAAAATGGCCAATTTATATCTCGACTTCCGGACGCGATAGCGATTTCGTTCTTTTTGCATAAAATTCTACACCATTTCGCGGCACTACCGTTTAAATCTCGTTCCGATCGCCCGAGGAGCGGCTGACTTACAGTGAATATCCGAAATCTGCTTCTTGGACTCACACTTCGTGAACTACTCGTGACAAATTTTGATCTTTGTCGGGAATCATCGACTTTCTGAGCTTAGAAAACTTTCAATGACGACTGAAAACACCGCTCGTGATTCGTTATCACTGCTAATATCATCATACATTATCTAAATATCCAAAATAAGCTAGATATTCGTTAAACTATGAAGATTACAATATGCGTAAAATCTAGTATATACTAGATTCAGTATAGTAGCCTTCGTTTTCATATGAATAATATGAGAGAAGATAAAAATTATATGTATAATTTAGAATGTCATTATTTTATTTTCAAACGCATATCAAACCACTATTAAACAAATGGTATTAATACATTTCGTTGATCGACGAATGTGAAATTTAGAAAATCATGTTTATCTTTGTAGTTTAACGAATATCTAGCTTACTCTGGATATTTAAGTATATGTATATATATATATATATATATATATATATATATATACATATATAAATTACTTGGAAATTATTATTAATAAAAGACTCTTAATATATCTGATTAGTAAATTAATAGAAAGAATTTGATTTCTTGAATTTCTCTTGAATTCGATTGTTTAAATATTTATCTTGATTTTTTATAGCCTTACAGCTACCTTGGCAAGTATCGGAGCTGCAAGCATTCCCAGTGCTGCATTGGTCACCATGCTATTGGTGCTAACCACCTTGGGTCTCCCTACGAATGATGTTTCTCTATTGTTCGCAATCGACTGGATGCTGTAAGTTACACACACATTTTTATCGTTTCTCTGTAAATTAAAAAAAAAAAGCAAGCGCTTCGTTTTAAGTGATCGGATCAGAACTTCAATCAACGTTCTGGGCGACGGTTATGGAGCCGGAATAGTTTATCATTTAAGCAAAGCAGAATTAGATAAGATGGACGAGGAACGAAGATTAGAAGGCTTGGAAATCGGAAAACCTCTTGAAATTGCTACTGAAGGCTGCCAACGAGAAGAGACAATAACACATGAACAAACATCCGAGACAAAAATTTGAATCTTTGGATTTTCTCAGCGAATTCATGATGCTATTTTGTCGTATGTAATACGATTGATTTTCACTGCCGAAATCAAGTTTTTCTCGTAAATTAAATGTTAAATTTAACATATTTCAGAATATAATTGTATTATTTAAAATATGTATAATTATTAAGAATATTATAGGTATGAATCTCTTATCTGATGATTTATATTAATATATGACTTTGTTTTTATAGTGAACGCTAACAATTAACAGTAGAGAGCGAATGAATTAAAAGTGCTAAACGTTGAAATAGAAAATGTGAGCATGATAAGTACAAAACTAAGAAAAAATGTATCTTATTTTTTTTCTAGTGTGTGAGAACTCTTCTACTTTGAAATATTAAAGAATATTAATATCAGAATAATAATGTACAGTAAAATATAATAGAAATATAAGATATAATAAATTAGTAACAATCAGATAATAGCAAGCAAATAATCCTCAAAGCGCTTAAAATATTCATCAATCAGTAATATTTAAAGAAGAAATATTAGATATAATGTAGATAATGTAAGGTTTTTTTAGAGACAATGATTGATGTTGCTTCGAAAAGCGAGAAATTATGTGAATTTTTTTGGTGCACTAGACATACACACACGTCTTCCTACATATGAAAATGAAAGGATTTTAAATGAATGACTTATGTAATTATATAACTATATGATATTAAGTATCCACATAATCGCGTCATAATCGCTGCAGAGTACTCGTAGTTTTCTTTTTCAAAAGATGTAGTTTTCTTTTCAAAAGACATATATAAATAATTTCACATAAAAATTTGCTTAATTTATTTTAAAATACAATGTATTCTGCAAAAAAAGTTTACATATTTTTTATCTTCTAATATCTTAATTCTATCTCTTCGAAGAGTTTTAAAGATAATAGTGATTATTTATACAAATACGTTTATAAATGTCGCATATATAATTATGTAAGGTTATCGGTAATTTTAATTAATTAAGATAGTGATTAATAATTTATTATGCAAATATATTATACATTCAATAAATAACGGCTGCTTATATTTCTATTGCACTGACTTATTGATATTTCTTTTTTTTATATTTAAATATTTGATAATAAATGTCGTGATTGTTTTATCATATAATTAAAAGTATATTGTATGTACATATCAATATACAATATATGAACATTTTATCCCTTATTTACTCTACTTATTTATTTAAAACACTTGAGTGAAAAAAATACAACAATTCTTATGACTGGCTTATATTTAATTATGCAACTTTATGATACTTATGTATTTATATAATTGCGTTATCATAAGCGCTATGAATTATCACTATCGTTCTCAATAAACGTGAACCATTCCATATAAAAATCTGATTCATCATTAAGAAATTTATAGTATATTAATTTTAGGCATATATGTGCAGAAATATATATATAAATATTATTTGCATTATTGTAGGAAAGGATACGTCCAGAATAATACGTATGTCTGTAGAAAGTTTTGCAGTCACAGAACAATTGCTATTAAGGAAAATAAATGTCTGAAAATAAAATTTATTTTTATGAATTGCTTCAAAGGATACACAAAGCCCTCCAAAGAAACCGCTTGTTAATAAATGCCGCCTGCTAATAAAATACTTTTTCCATTGACCACCAGCTTTCATCAGTAACATTGCCTATAAAGATGCTTGTAATATTATATACAATTATTGTTAATAGTATTAAGATAATCTTACCCATAGTCCGAAAACTGCAAAGATATAAAATCCAAATCCATATAACCCAGTTAATCCTAGCAAGCCAGCTGTACCACCTGATAAAGCTGCCATTGATATTTTACAATATTCTACAACTGCAGCATTGTTTACAACTGCTGCCTCACTATACGCAATAAGCTCTGCAATTGCATTTAAAATCTTAAAATCTTTCCTATAATTAATATTTTATTATGTATTTTGCTTAGACATGAATTTGTTTTTACAATATGAAATTTAACTCATTAGTCTATGATTTATGTACTGCTCATCAACTGAATAATTAATTTCACAATCTTTTTATTAATTTTTATTCACTGCAATGGTTTTAAATAGCAAGTAAATAACAAACATAACCTTTCTCAGAAAGTCTTTATGATATTTCCTAACTTACTATCATTTGCTATTTGAATTTAATTTTATGATAATTTTCTTACTTACCTCCACTTTTTTCTTGCTTTGTTTTTATTTTTCCCAACATTATCTTGTGACTAATAAAAACGTTAACCTAACAGAGTGAAAGGAAATGAATAAGCACACGACGATATGCGCGTCAGCTGTGATCAGATGTTCTATCAAGACACGTCAGCTTCTGCGCAAAGAATTAATATGTGGCGCCAAGTTCAAATTAAATACTGTTAAAAACTTGTATAAAATGTCCATCAATCGTTTGTTAATTATAGCTGCCAATTATACCACTGTCATTGTGATGACAATATATGGATATGTAAATCAATAACTATTAATATTATGGCGTCATTAAAAAGAGATAATAATAAATATAGATGATCTTCATTTCTTGAAGAATTTAATCTATTTCATGTTGAAAATCTTGGCAAGAATTGGTGGCAACAAAGACGGGTCATAAGATTATAATAGTCATTTGCTGTAATTTGAGAATGTTATGAATTCGTTATTGTTACACGATTTATTGATATTTTATCGCAAATAAATTATTTGACACAATATGTACAATTAATTTATTAAAAATTTATTGATAATATGAGCAAATTTATAAATAAATTGTGTTAAATCAGAGTCGAATTAAATTTGGAAGCTGGTATTGTGCGAATTTATTAAAATTATTAATATAAAATCGTAATATAATAATCGTTTATATTAACAGATTTTTGCAGATTTGCAATTATTAAAAATCTTATATCGTCAGCATCTAAATTAATCTTCGAAAGTTTCTTGGGATGTAAATACACAGCAATAAGTCGCTCAAGAAATAATAGATAAATACATAATATTAATTTTAAATAATATATAAATTTTACGTCACAAAAGAGATTGTTTGGTAGATGTTTTACAATTCACTATCTATTTCCTATGGCTGTACTGACAATCGACTTAGATGATTTCGATGTCGCCTTGTTGCGATTTTTTTCAAGTACGACGCAAAGCGCGCGGAGAGGCGCGGATCGCTCGGCTCGAGGCTGAAAATAACCGCCGGAGAACCGCTCGTTCTTGTTCCGTCCCGCTCCGCTCGGCTCGACATAGCTCCTCGAGCTTCGACAGAAATTTCGTCGCGGGTGCCCGATCTCCTGTAGTCAGGAAAACGAGAAGCTCGGCGCCCCAAAGAAGTCCTTGACCGAACGCGAACGATCTATACACGCACGATCTATCGTACGCGGGGGGGGAGAATCCTTCCGCGAGATCGTGAGACGAGCACGCGAATTAAGAGAAGTGAAGTGTTACTTCGAGGTGAGTTTTCTCAGGATGAATGTCATGATTAATCTCTTTTTTCTTTTTCGATCTGGATTACGTCTTCAAAAAATGATATCCGTGTATCCTCCGTAATATGTGAGTGTGTATGTGTGCGTACCTGTGTCGTGTGTGCTGCGTATATGTGCGTGAGTGATGCTTTGAATAGCGCGTGAGGGAAGAATGTAGTTTTTTTTTCGCGTAATATGTAATCTTCCTTCTTTACCTAATTAATTAATTTTGTAAAGCAATTCCCTGGGGATATCGTCATGAATATATATATACATACATTGCTATTCAGTAAACTTGTAATATTGACAAATACCATGCATGTAGTACAGTAATATAATTTTAATACACGCTACATTATCATTAATTTTAGAAATAAGCATAATTAAATGAATATTTAATTGTTCAATTAATTGTTGAACAAGCTTAATACATTTCATATTTTGAATTAAGTGTCTTTGCAATTCTCAATCCAGTAGACAACCGTGTATGTTTCTTATTCTAAAATTAGAAACTCAATTTTGTCGATTCTTATGCAATGTCGCTTTCTGGAATAGCTTTGCCAAAAAAAACTATCATAAAAAATATTTAAGTAACATTTTTTTATATTCCAATTGTCATTAGAATTTAAAATCGGCTTATAAAATTAAATTATTTTGATAAATTATGCTTATTGCTACATGTTTATTATTCCATAAAAATTTTAAAATTAAAATTGTTTTATTTATTTAGATTATTTATTTAATCTTGATGCACATTTATAACATTATAACTAAATAATATTCGTAAAAGTAACAGTATTCGTTGTCTATAAAGTAAAATGTTTCATTATGGCATGAATAGTTTAAATTAAAAATTATAATTTTGTTATTTTATTTCAAAAGAATGTTGTTGTCTCATGATTGAATAATATTTGTAGAAATAACAGTAAATCATATCGACCATGATATAATACGTTCAATATTGCAACAAAGGATAAAGTTACAAGAAATATTTATAGAATATATATCGAGAGATTTTATCGACTTTCTATGAGACTTTTATTTAATTCATCAAGAAACAATTTTATCGAACATGATGCAAATAATATATTCCTACACATGAATATTTATTAGAAAATCCTTTTGCGAAATATTCATTTTCGCAAAAGAATTTTCAAATAAATTTTCATTTTTCGAAGATCTTAACTTTCGATTAACGCATTAAGCGCAATAATTGAAAGTTTATTATCGATAAGTGGGAGATATTTCGGTAAGTCATCGCGGATGCATCTATTTCTGTCGCGTTACTGGAAATAGAATCTCGGAGAAGGTAAAATCAACCGGGCACATTATCAATAAATTACAATTGTCGTTATCAAATTGTAATTTTATTGTATATTTATTTAAAAGATTTCGACAGATTTCATGCACTCTCAGTAAATAAGATATGCTGATATGAGTGAAACATCTTGTAATTTCTTTTTACATTTTCTTTGCGTTTCTTGTTGCATTATGTTATTTGGATTGCACTATCATTGGAATGTGGCATATTAAATAAATATTCATTCATATATGTGGCATATTAAATAAATATTCATTCATATTAAAGTATAGATTTAAAGCCATGATGGCTGTATTAGCTCAGCTTTGTGTTAAGTATGATTTAACTTTGTGTCATAATACTTCATATTTTATACACTGCTTACGCTCAATGTAATAATATCGATAATTCTGGATCGATAGTGGTATTTTTTCAACCAATGTATGCAGATTGAAGCAAGAATATTCAGTTGGTGCATTTGTGCTTCTCTTGCTTGTCTATTAATGGATTGAATTAGTTACGAATTGTGTTTACGCTTATCGTAACGGATATGTTGCGATATACTTATTAAAATAAATTCTTGAGTTTATAAATTAATTTAAAATTTTAATTGATAGGTTTATAAATTAATAGAGATAATTTAAAGACACACTAATATAAAATGAAATAACGTATTTTCTTCTCTTTCTTCAGATTTTCATTAATTAAAAATAAAGTATATATCATAATGATAAAATATATATCACATAAAAATCTAAGAATATGAATTCCTCCTTAAAAAAGATATTCAAAAAATTATTTCGACCTTCATGCTCGATAAATTTGATTTATTATCACACGATTCGTTGACAATGCCTTCATCCTTGAAATCCATCAGCTTTTCTGCCTGTCGCGTTGTTATTCAAATTCATTCTCCTAAAGAAATAAAATTATATTCCAACAATATTTCACGGTAAGACAGACACAACGTGAAAATCGTATAATACGGTCGCATAAAAGGGGGGGATTTTGCGTTAACGGAATCTCGAGCATGCGGAATTTGATTAAAGGTGTCGAGCGCGTGCGCGAGGAACGTCGGTGAGCGGTCTGGGTGTCCTCCGACCAGCAGTGGGTGATTGTCGGTGTTCCACGACAGTTGAGTGCGACATCATCATTGCCGTGGTCATCATCGTCTTCGTCGGCGAGACGAAGTCAAAAATTCCGGTGTAGTGACAGGAACATGCCGACCATGCGAGACCGTGCATGACCAACCGCTCCAACATTGATAAGGGTGCCTTGGACACCGAGTGAACACGCGAGTTACGCACACTCGCGTACGCGTACGCACATACGAGCGCGTAGAGGTGAGACAGACAGAGAAGACCCGTCGCGTGGAAGCGCGCCGAAGGGATGGCCGATAGCGAGGGTGGCTCCGAGCAGGACGACGTATCATTCCTTCGTACGGTAAGTTCCACTTTGTTATGGGCGAGCTTATGATTGCGACAAAAAGCCAATTTTCAAAATTTAAAGGAGATGCTCAGAGAGAAATTCTCCTATAAAACAGTGATCATGTGAGCTGTCTTGTTTGAGATAAAGTTCGAAAGATTGTACTGAAAAATATTGAGAAAAATCTCGTAGTCAATAACCGTAAAGTAATTATCATTAAAGATGAAGAAACACTTCGATTTTAAGTAAAAAGAAATCATTGGCGATGCGTTTTTCATTGATAATTTCGTTGGCATTTGCTTGTAAATAGTCTTCTTTAGAGTAGCTTATTAAATGAAACTGTTTAAATCGTTAATATATAATTGATTAACGTGTCGATGATTTTTTACTTTAATACAAATGACAATTTTAATATCAACGAAGATTAAAAAAAATATTTTCATTGATATTAATAATTCCGAAAGGAACTTTACATAGATGATACAAGGTTGTATAACAGTTATCAATAAGTTTGAAAGGAGCTGAGGGTAAATGTATCCACAAGCGTGTCCGCGAAAAGCGCATAGAAATAGGGAGGTGGTTCGCCTTCAATGATATAGTAGTGTTTGTGTGAAAATGAATGAATACCGATGAAGTTGAAACTTTGCTTACACAAGAAGCGAGTTAACTATAAACTGCACGAACTGTTGTATTACACATACATTGCTTGTATATATGTATATCTATGATTTTATTGAAAAACATCACCCAAAAAATTGAGAAAAATTCTGTATGCAATTTTCCCGAAAAACGCTTAAGTAAATTAATGTATTATCATGTTTTGAAATCGAATTAAATTATAATGCATAATCAATTTTTAATAAGTCTAAAAATTGAATAAATTTAAAAAATATTTTTTGACAATTTAAATCGATGACAGACGATCAACTTTAAATATCATTAAAAAAGTTGGCTTTATTTTATATATAAATGCAATTCCTTTTTTATATAGAGAGTTAGGGCAGGAAAAAACTGTGAGATTTTAACAAAATGTGGAAGCACTTGAAGTAACTTGCAGTCACAACCTTGACCTCATTCGACCTACAAGGCTGACTGTAGTAGTAAAGATACAGTCTTTTATCATTTCGTCTGACGTTTGTGTATTTAATCAGTTATATTCTGTTATATTATATACTTAATTGTTGATATTAATCACAATAATATAGTTTACTATAAAATTGCGATATCATTTTCAATTTACACGCAAATCAGGAATATCAATCACAAATATAAAAATTCTCTTTTTTATAGATAGATTATTAATTTTGATATATTTTATTTTTAATATTTTTTTCAAAATTGCACACTTACTATTTATATATTTATTAAAATAATGTATATAAAATCAGAATTAAAAATTTGTTACAAATTATACGGTTTCAAAAATATTGAACTTATCACATAAAACTGTTCATAAATTAAATTGAATCGCGTGTTTTCTATTTTATGACCTTCGTGTTCGTTACAATCATTTTTCGTCATCATTTTTCATTTCCCCCGATATACTCAGTGTTTTAAAATTTTAAACTTATATATTATAAATATACATATATAATAATATGTTGCAAATTGTGTTTTTTTTTCTGTGTGTGCTAAGAAATCTCGAAATAAAATAAAAAATCTAAATTCCGAATGTATTCCAACGATTTTGATAGCGAAAACTTACGATATATCTTTTCATTTTATCAAATGTAGTTTATCTTTTCACATTCGTCTCCTTTGTCTTTCGCTATTGATAGATTCTTTTTGAATTCATTTAACGGCAATCAGAAGTTATGTCTCTTTAACAAACGCTTCTATCTAAACGCGTCTTCTTCTTCGCGGCAGTCTCCTGCGACGTCTTCTTCGTTCTCTCTCTGCCAAAAGTATATACTTTTGTCTCTGCTCTTCGGGCAAGTCGCACCATTCTTTGCCAGCCTGCCGAGCGACTTCCGTCACGTGTTTTTCAGGCGTCTTATAATACATCTCGAGATAGAAGATAATAAAGGGATTCTGCGACACAATTTTTCGTCTTCTCCTTCTGGATCTGGTTCTGGTTCTGATTCTTCTGCGTGCGTACTGGCAACGACATAGCGCTCCTCTTTCTTCCCTTCGTCTGCGACGATCCGTACGCGCTGTCTCGTCATCCTGTTGTTCCATGGGCTCGCCCATTTCTTTATCTGGTTCTTCAATAGTGCGTCTGCGAAGGGCCGGTTTATCTCATTGTGTGTTCTATTATAATTTTTATTATAAATTATGAACGAATACTATGAATTAATATTTAATTTTCTCACAAAATGCACTTTTAATCTATGTGCATTTAGGACGTATTTAATGCAATCTATGCCGTTGCCGGGAATCAAAGCGAATGGAACATTTTCGATCCTTCTTTGAAGTTCGCGATTGGGCTAATCAGCGTTCAATTCAATTTACGACTAGAAATTTTGCCATTAAATGGGATGATACGAAACGCGCATGAGAGAGAACATTGAACGGCAAAGCTGATTATTTCCCATGATAACGATTTCGATCATCGCGGTTGTAGCTGTCTTTGGAATTAAACCGGCTTTCGTGTTCTTGTTAAATCAATGTGGCAAAATCGCGTGCGAAATACATCTTTGGTAGATTCGCGTCGCGACAACATGCCATGTATGAAATCGGCCAGGCTCGATGCCAAGAGGGTCGTTCGCATTTTTACGTGAGAAATCATATTTGCGCCGTTCGACAGGCTTTCCTGTGAATGAATTATGTAAGCAAAGTTCGACGAGGATCGCGAGCGAGGAATACCGCTCACCTGCTTTTGTTGGACGTGCTCCCATAAATATCAGGTTCGTCCATCTCTTCTGCCGTTTACAATTTTTACTTGATAATTTTACTTGGTGTCGAAAAGAAAGGGAAATGTCAACCGCGGTGAAAACATGTGAAGTTTTACGAGCTTAATTCTCTTCGCACACTCGAGGATAGTCGATGGTAATTCTATCGATTATCGATGTTGTGATATTATTTGGAGTAGAATTGAATATTAAATATATTATTGTGAAATAAAATCGCGTTGTGTTTAAAACTTCATGATTACGTTTCAATGTTGTTACGGAAATTATTTCTCAGTAAAATGGAAATTAAGAAATTATTGTTCTCAATTTTACTCACTAATTTACATGTTTTATCAATTTATATATACCTGAATAATGAACATTTACAATTCCAACTTCCAGATTATGTAAAAGATAAATTGTTCCAATTTATTTACAAAAAAATGAAGAAATTCTTATAACGATATCTCTCGAAATTTTTTCTCATAAATTTAATATCATGCTTAATTAATTATTTTTCACTTGATTTATTTTCCGAAGAGACTCACGATCAAGTAATTCAGTGTACAATTTCGTTGATGAAAGTTTACGACACGTGCACGTGTTGCATATAGAAATTCAACAAAGCTTTAGACAATGTTTTCTTATTTAAAGCTAATCGCTTTTAGTTAATTTTAGAATTTGATGCAGTGGCTGTTCTGTCTGATCAATACGCCTCACGTAGCTGTTTCATTAGTGATACCGCATCGAAAAGTGATGAATTTATAATTAATATACTACGATGTGCAACATGCGTTAGATGCGCCGAGTATTGAACAACAAACGATATAGTATACACATGATTATCATGCTGCAACATCCCACCTTTCTAACCCTCTTCCAGCTCAATGATGCTATGAAGCGTCACGAAGCTTATTTTTTTAGCGATATATTTATTAAATATCATTTTATACGCATAGTTGATATTTCCATTAAATTAAAAAAATAAAAAAATATCAATTTTATTAAATTATGTGAGAGTAAAAAATATCACTTTTAAATCGAGTTTATAAGAATATTTTCATCAAATTTTTATAACTAAAAATTTTTATAATTAAAAAGATTTTGATGCTATTAAATATTTTGAAAATATTCAACTTGAATATAATAAATCCTTTTCATTGTTTTATATAATTTTTGTGTTTTGTATATCTAATGAAAGATCTAAAACTTGTAAGGTACACGTGTAAAGATAAAAATGATTTATTTGCTACACAGTATTTGATAGAATTATATGAATTATCTTGTGAAATGAAGGCGTACCCTTGACCTATACTTATACATATTGTAACTTCGATTGTAACCAGATGCCGGAAGTAATCAATATATTTGGTTCATTATCAATGAATTCGCCAAACGTTCAATTATGTTGCCGTAATTTCTTAACAATTCGTTTATCAAATTTAACCGAAAAATCATTAATACTTAAAAAATCACACAGTAAAATTACTCTTTTGATAGAACGGAATTATTGCATATAAAAAAAAATTAAAATAATATTTTCAAGAGAGAAAATATACATAATTATGAGAATGGAATAGAACAAATGCTGATATTTTTAATAACTATGCGATTAAGAATTTATTTTCTATTTTTTATTTCTCTCGTGAATCATAATCACAAGCCGAACATTTGATAAATGATAATTTTCAATATAATGTGTTAATCAAAACCAACAATTTATGAAGTCACCCGCGTCAAACGGGTAGATTGATCGAATGTACTTTATTAATATCTCGATAAAGAAGAGATTAAGTCTCCTTGCCAAATTTCCAGCGGAAACTTTTGGCGTCTCGCGTGTCTAAAACGCAAATATACGAGCACATGTATGGCAAATCGCGTGCCATTCCGGCATGGATTCAACGCGGATTTAACTCGACGGGAAGTTATGTTAATGTGTCCTTTAAGTAAAACACATTACTTATGCATCTTTTTCCGTTGCATATTAATTTTTTTCGAACTTAAACAGCGCGATGAATATCACAAAAATATGCGTGCGCGTTCATGATTGCGCAGCCTATCGCACAATGTTAACTGTATATTCAACGGTCGACAATATCTGAGTAATATTTTCACTCGAAGGGATATAGATAGAAAGAGAAAAAGAAAGAAAGAGGAAGAGACTATAGGTGTGGTTCTCGTGGCACAGGTGGGATACGATTAATATGGTCGTGCAAAACAATTTCGTTTACACAGACAGTTTCATCATGATATAACCAGGACTACCCCATCGATTTCAATTCAACTCTATAATCGAATGATTGCCTTAGCTACATCCCTGATTGCCAATAAACTGTGCTTATTATTGTCGTGATTGAACAATATTTCAAGCGCGAATAATGCTATAGATATATGTATTATCTATTTTTAACTCTTTTAAAAAATTTGAAATCTCTATGAGGAACATAGAATATTTTTTTACATATTTACAATATAGTTATATAACTTTATTGTATTATTTAGGAAAATATTCAAAAAATAAGGCACTTAGATGATCATTACTATGGCGTTAATTTTCTCTGTGTATACTATTAAGATTGAACTTGTTGAGGAATGTTGGCTACGATACGATTTTATCGAGCAATTTATCGCACTTAATTTATATATAGATACATACCAATTGAGAGAAATCGTTTAGTCTAGATGATATGGAAATAGAGGAATAAACAATCTTCCCATACGACTTCTGACCTAGTTTCTATAGTTGCTCATAAAATTTTCACAGGTGCATATAGTTGACAGTCTTGTTCCTTCTCTTTTCCTTTGACATTTCTGCTTAGAGTTGAAGGGTATACATAAACATGTGGTGTAATTTTTTTCTCGCTCGTAGGTGAATTAAAAATATAAAACTATAGCGTGACAAAAGATCAATCTTTTTAAACTTGTTTAAAAGATTAACATTTTTTAAACAATTGTTACAGGAAAATTGAGTTTATAAAAACTTAAGTGTGTGTAAATCGAGAGAAAAATTTGTACGCATCAAGGGTTAAAATCGAGCGACGCAAATCGAATGACTCACTCGACGAGTTCTCGACTTTTCCTCGTGGCTCGACGTTGCGAGCGTTAAATAACATCGTTGTGAGAGAAATGCATGTTTTCCGCTCAGCGATGCGACGTGTCTAAAGATTACGAAGTGCCCTCGAAGCCGGTATACTTGTGTGCCTGATTTTCTTGCATTCTTGAGGTCGTCCAAATTGGTTTTGGCACAGTTTTGGCCGGTAGTCTGTACCATATTTCGTACGATTTCATAAAAGTTATTAATATCATAACGAAAAGCTTTTTCTCAAAACAATCGATAGATTAACAATTGCTTTCCTCAACCGACACTTTCACCAGTGCTCGTTTCGATATTCATGAAAATTAAATGCAAATAGCTACTTTCGACGAATGTACCATCTGTTGCAGATTGCAAAATCTTTTAATACTATTGCGTACTATTGCAGCATAGCAAACATCAGTACGATATAATATACTACGAAGCTTTTTCGAGAGAAATCCACGCCGAATTCTCTCGTCAATCTATATGCGTGATCAATGTAAATTCCAAGAAAATAGGAGACTTAATTAATATATTACGCGTTTATAATTATATTAAAATATTAATTTAGAATTAATTAATGTTCTCAGTTTAAAGATTGATATTTTCGACTTCTTAAAATAGAACAGATGACTATTACAAATTGAGAAACATGTAATGACGCCATTTAAAATTTACAGGAAGATATGGTATGTCTGTCCTGTACCGCAACAGGAGAAAGAGTCTGTTTGGCAGCCGAGGGTTTTGGTAATCGACACTGTTTCCTCGAGAATATCGCGGACAAGGTAATTGCAATTTTTTACAATTTTCCTTATCTCGCTCTTATTATGTCACTTTTATTATCTTTATTATAAATTTTTTTCTCACCTCTAGAATATACCGCCGGATCTGTCGCAATGCGTATTCGTGATAGAGCAGGCTCTCTCGGTGAGAGCCTTACAGGAGTTAGTAACAGCTGCCGGTTCCGAGACGGTAATGTATACATGTTCTTTGTCTAATATCTCGTATATTCATATGATTTTAAAGAGAGAACTTTGGCGGTAAAATTTCAGGAAATAGTTCATAACTTCTACTTGATGCGTGCCGTAAAAAAATATTCTCTCATTTTAAAAAGGAGGATTTTACAAGTAAAAATGATGAAGCTCTGTGTGCGTGTAATCCGTAAATTCAACTCTGTAATTTATTAATTATGCGAATGGTGTATCATTATCTACCTCATGATTATAAACTTTTTACATTCTAAAAGTTCATCGTTAAATATTAATTTATTTTATTACGCCTGCATAAGAATGGGCCATAAAACGCGTCCTTTGTCATTGTGTAAAATGTAAAAAACATAATCCTACAAAGACTTAAGAGATGTTTAAAAAAATGTCTAAAGAATATTTAAAATATCCTATAGACATATTTTTAGTGTCTTTTAGGTCTTCAAACTTGTTCAATTTCTCCGCCGAATAATTTGGAAGAATTCCTGATACATCGGAATAGCTTCTTTTTGATGCATTTAGCACGCACCTTCTTTGCCACCGCACCCCTTGTGTCCGTATGATTGTGGCATGTGTCCATGCAGCCGTGTAAAATAATTTCGAATTTACATTTTCATTCTTTTGATTTTTTCTCCATCTGTGATTTTATCATTCGAAATATACTAGCATTGTGGAAAACAAATCATCTGGAAATTTAATCGAGACCTACTATCATTGACCATGAAACATCATACATATACATTGTTCTATTTTATTTATTGTTTCTTTATATTCTTTTTTTTCTATTTATTTTTTCTTAATATCCTTTTTTCTTTCTTTGTAATCAATCCGAGTTGACATTTAATGAAAGAGATTCATCGCCTTTTATGTTTTTTTCTCTTTGCAGCAACAAGACAGTTTAGTAAGTATAATTTACATCTGCGAGGCGCCGTAACGTGTCCGCTCTTGGGTAAAACATCATTTGTTTGTGTGTTAAAACATCGTAATGTCCGATCGTGCTTGAGTGAAAATATGAATCGTTTATTTCACAAAAATGGCCTCGATTAATTTTTGAAATACTGAGTAGTTTTTATTTAATATCACATTTGACGCTAATAAAACATTTCGTTATAATTTGTATTTATTTAACATAAAGATTGCAAATTTAAATTAAAAATAATTACAATTTTCCAAATTCGATTTATGTGCTGCTCTTAAAAAATAAATAAGTTTCATCATCTGTGTACTTAAATATAAAAAATTTAACAATGTTTAATATAATTTAATTGTGACATATATAATAATATCGATTTTTTTTCAAAGTTCATAAATATCGAGATGCTATTTTACACATCCGATTAATTAAATAATTACTCTGAAAATTTTAATTAACATAATGTATGTTGAAGCTAATAATAGGGATTGCTAGCTTTCATTTGATAGTCTAATATAATTAATCGTCTATGTTAAAATTATATTCAGTAATCTATGTCTCTTGGTATATGCCTCGTGAGTTTTGTATCATGGCTTAACATAATACCAGCATTTATGGCCTCCTCTTATCAGTATACGCTTGTAGAAATTGTCTAAGAAATATTGTTATTTTGCAAAGTATTAAAATTTCATATATACGTAGAGAGTCAAAAAGTATCAAGTACAAAAGGGTGCAAGGGCTTTGACCAATCCTTTGCTTTCAGGGAAAAGGTACTGGGTCAGGGCACAGGACTTTGTTATACGGTAACGCAATATTGTTGCGACATCTAAACAGCGACATGGTAAAAATTAGTTCTCTTTATTATATATATATATATATATATATATATATATATATACACATACAAATATACATGTTAATTTTTAATGTATAAATATCTGTGTTCATGTATTGCAGTATCTGGCGTGTCTATCTACAAGTTCATCGAATGATAAACTAGCCTTCGATGTCGGTTTACAACAACATTCGCACGGTTGGTGCAATACTATCGCTTTAATTATTAATTTAATTTTTAATAAATATTGAATTATTTTATTGTAATGTTATTCCTTTCTATTCTTGGATATATATGACGCATTGCTTCGTTAAATAATTACAAATGCAATTATAACTTTCAACAAAATCAAATTAAAGTTAAAGTTTAAAGTTGCATTAGCAAATTTATCGTAGATCAGTAAACATAAATTGAATATTATACTTCGTTTTGAACTTCATTAAGTTTTATTTATGCAGGTGAAGCGTGTTGGTGGACTGTACACCCTGCTTCCAAGCAGAGATCCGAGGGTGAGAAAGTGCGTGTGGGTGACGATCTTATTTTGGTATCTGTCGCTACCGAGCGCTATTTGGTAAGTTTAATATTTATTATAAAGTATAATAAAATGAAATAAAATAAATAGAAATAAAAATAAAATGGGATATAATATTAATTATTAAACAAATACTAATACATATATCACTTCTTTCTCTTGAAGATAATTTGATATGGAAATAAAAAAATATATTTTAATACATTAATAAATATATTTTAATAAATATCTTTTTCTTTGTTTCAGCATACGACGAAAGAAAACGATTTATCGGTGGTTAATGCATCTTTTCATGTAACTCATTGGTCCGTACAACCTTACGGTACTGGTATTAGCAGAATGAAATATGTTGGTTTTGTATTTGGAGGTGATGTGTTACGGTTCTTTCATGGTGGTGACGAGTGTTTGACGATTCCATCGACTTGGAGTCCAGCACCTAGTCAAAAGTAAACATACATTATGTTTATAACTCAATAAGACTAATCAAATAATATATATATATATATATATATATATATATATATATATAATTTAAATAATTAATTAATCAGATATGATAAAAATTATAAAATAATAAAATTAAATATAAATATAAAATTATAATTGTCTTATATAATCACAAAAGTAAAATCTCGTAAAAAAAATGATAATAATTATTGTTTCTTGAAAATAAAAAAAGAGGATAAAAGTGAAAAATTATTTACAAATGTTTTATCATTTTATAGTCTCGTAATCTATGAAGGCGGTAGTGTAATGAGTCAAGCGAGATCACTATGGAGACTAGAGCTCGCCAGGACAAAATGGGCAGGTGGCTTTATTAATTGGTTACATCCTATGAGGATCAGACACTTGACGACCGGACGTTATCTCGGTGTGAAGGAGAACAACGAGCTCTATCTGGTCGATAGGTTAATACTTATTTTTAGAAAAAGTTCAAGGGTCATGGCAATTCTTATAGGCTGACGACGATGTTTCCTAAATCTACGATTATTTTTTTTCCGAAGGAATGAGGCGACGATCGAAACCTCGACATTTTGTTTGCGGCAGGAGAAGGATGATCAGAAGATTGTTCTTGAGGACAAAGATCTGGAAGTCATCGGATTGCCGATCATTAAATACGGTGACTCTACTGTTATTATGCAACATGCCACCACGTGCCTCTGGGTATCTTATAAGGTAAATAAAAAAATAAATTGTTAAGTACAATATAGAATATAAACAACTTTAAGATAATCCGATTAATGTAATTAATTAATAGATTTTTCGATTTCTGTAAAATATATTTAAGCATTTCATAAAAATTGTGATAAATTTTCGTGATTTTTACGATTGTGATATTCTTTTAGTCATATGAGACGAAAAAAAAGGGAGTCGGAAAAGTCGAAGAAAAGCAAGCAGTACTCCACGAAGAAGGTAAAATGGATGATGGTTTAGATTTCTCTAGATCTCAAGAAGAAGAATCTCGTACTGCCCGCGTCATCAGAAAGTGCAGCAGCGTATTTACTCAATTTATCACGTGAGTTTTCAGAATTAAAAATATTTTTAAAAATATAGAAAAGAGAGATAAATATATAATTTATATTAAAATTATTTCAAAAAATTAAAATATATATATGTCGAGCATACATAAAAAATCTTATTAAAAATATCGAACATGTTTTAGAGGCCTAGAAACACTGCAAGTGAACAGACGAGCATCCATGTTTTTTCAAAACGTAAATCTTAATGAGATGGTAATGTGTCTTGAAGACTTGATCAATTATTTTGCTCAACCCGAGGATGATATGGGTAAGAAAATATACTTTTTAAAAATGTTTCTTTAAAACGTTTTACATCATTAATGATAAATTTCCTCAGAACACGAAGAGAAACAGAACAAATTCCGAGCTCTTAGAAATCGTCAGGATCTCTTTCAAGAGGAAGGCATACTGAATTTAATTCTCGAAGCTATCGATAAAATTAACGTGATTACTTCACAAGGTTTTCTCGTTGCTCTTTCCGGTGATGAGAGCGGCCAAGCCTGGGATCAAATATCTGGATATCTTTACCAATTACTGGCGGCTATTATCAAGGGTAATCATACCAACTGCGCCCAGTTTGCTAATAGCAATCGTCTCAATTGGTTGTTCAGCCGACTGGGTTCACAGGCTTCCAGCGAAGGAACTGGAATGTTGGATGTACTTCATTGTGTCCTGATTGATTCGCCAGAAGTTTTAAACATGATGAGGGTATCGTGTCAATATTTATGATATAGATTATTTAAAGACTAATAATGTGAATAAATAATTTCTTGTAAAAAGTAAAAGTTTTATAGAATAAATTAAACTTGTAATATAAACTTATGTTAAATAAATTTATTTTATTTGTGAATTTTTTAATACTGATTTATAAATATTTTTTTCAGGACGAACACATAAAAGTAATTATTTCTTTACTAGAGAAACACGGCAGAGATCCGAAGGTTTTGGATGTTTTATGCTCACTATGCGTTGGTAATGGCGTTGCAGTGCGTTCTTCGCAGAACAATATTTGCGACTTTTTATTGCCTGGAAAGAATCTGCTTCTTCAGACACAACTGGTGGATCATGTGGCCAGTGTTAGACCGAATATATTCGTTGGCAGAGTGGAGGGTTCGGCTCTTTATCAAAAATGGTATTTCGAAGTAACTGTGGATCATATTGAACAGACGACGCATATGATGCCGCACTTGAGAATCGGATGGGCAAATACTGCTGGGTAAATTAATCAATTTTCAGATATCTATTTATGTTTAGAATGTCAAAATATATTATTAATAAATATAGCATATTAAATATGCTATATTAAATAAATTATATAGTATTCATATTCATATTTCTGAATCAAATTTGTCGATATCGAGAAGGTCACCAGTAATATAAGTGTCATTTTTTTCGCAAATAGTTACATGCCGTATCCTGGTGGTGGCGAAAAATGGGGTGGAAACGGCGTTGGCGATGATTTATATTCGTTCGGATTTGACGGCGCTTATTTATGGACCGGTGGCAGGAAAACGCAGGTCGTTCAAGACGCCACGGAACCTTATATCAGGAAGAGCGATGTAATCGGCTGCGCTTTAGATTTAACAGTGCCGGTGATAACGTTCACTTTCAATGGCAATCGTATCATGGGCTCCTTCCGTAACTTCAATTTAGACGGCATGTTTTTCCCCGCCATTAGCTGCTCGTCTAAACTTTCCTGCAGGTTTCTACTGGGTGGCGATCACGGCCGATTAAAGTTCCAGCCGATGGAGGAATTCTCGCCGTTAGTGGAGAGTCTATTGCCGCAGCAAATCCTGTCCTTAGATCCGTGCTTTTATTTCGGTAACATGAACAAAGTGGTTCTAGCAGGTCCATGGTTGGTCGAGGACGACACTGCCTTCGTTCCGGCTCCAGTTGACACATCCATGGTCAACTTGCCCGCTTACGTCGAGCAGATCAGAGATAAACTTGCAGAAAATATCCACGAGATGTGGGCGATGAATAAAATCGAGGCCGGTTGGATTTATGGCGAGGTCAGGGACGACTTAAGGAAAATACATCCTTGCATAGTTCAATTCGAACGACTGCCGGCCGCAGAAAAGCGCTACGATACTCAGCTGGCTGTGCAGACCCTGAAGACTATCTTGGCTCTGGGTTATTACATCACAATGGATAAGCCACCGTCTCGAATCAAGACCTTAAGGTTGCCAAACGAACCGTTTCTGCAAAGCAGCGGATATAAACCGGCACCACTTGACCTGTCAGCAATCACGTTGACCCCCAAGATGGAAGAACTTGTTGATCAACTTGCGGAAAATACGCATAATCTCTGGGCGAAAGAAAGAATTAGTCAAGGATGGACGTACGGCTTAAACGAAGACTCGGAGATGAGAAGAAGTCCTCACTTGGTACCATATCTGAAAGTCGATGAAGCTATCAAGAAAGCCAATCGGGATACAGCCAGTGAAACTGTCAGGACTTTATTAGTCTATGGATACATGCTTGATCCACCCACCGGAGAACAGCATGAAGGTGAGATTTTTAATTTTTGTTAAATATGCACATTCTTATTTTTGCACTCTTATAAAATAATTTTATACCAATTTCAATATTATATACTTTTAAAATATATAGTCAATAAAATATTATTAATCCATTCAGTGCATGTGCACAATTATTCACAAAATTATTCAGTCCCTATGTGCACAATTATGCACAAAAACTTTAAAATCATTTGAAATAGTTATTTTTTAGAATTAGTTTCCCTGCGATCTCTCGGTGGAAAAAAAATATATATATCTCGAAAAAAAAAATATATATATATATCTTGTCATTTTAGACCCTTAGCATCAATAAAAATTAATTCAATAATGTTTTACATTACAGAAAAAATTCAGGTCTAAATGGGTTAAGACAATGATATTAATTATATAATATATAATAATTAATCATATATTTTTTTATACGTATATAATGTTGTAATATACAATTAAATAAATAAATATATTATTTTATAAATATATTATTTAATTTTTTAAATAGATTTATTAATTAAATAAATATATTATTTTATAATTGTAGGATTATTGAAAAAATTATATTCGACCAAACTAGCCTGAAATTTCCTTTATTTAATACGACGTTTCGACCATATGGTTGTGGTCCTTATCAAGTATATACGATGAAATATAATAATCAGGAGGCAAACATAGCGCTTGTAAAAACCATCACGAGTCACAAATAAAAAACGTTATATAATTAAATTCAAAAAACGAGAGAGACTGATGCGTCCATGTGAGACTTCGTCGAAAAACTAAACTTGTTTAGTTTTTCGACGAAGTCTCACATGGACGCATCAGTCTCTCTCGTTTTTTGAATTTAATTATATAACGTTTTTTATTTGTGACTCGTGATGGTTTTTACAAGCGCTATGTTTGCCTCCTGATTATTATATTTCATCGTATATACTTGATAAGGACCACAACCATATGGTCGAAACGTCGTATTAAATAAAGGAAATTTCTGGCTAGTTTGGTCGAATATAATTTTTTCAATAATCCTTTGATTATTCGACTAGCGATTATACCTTTTCTACATTTTATAATTGTTTTAAACTTTTGAATTGTAAAGAGAATGAGTTGTATGTTAAATTAAAAAATGAAGTATGTGTATTTATTAAATCAATATATATATATATATATATATATATATTATAAATCAAGTTGTACATTTATTAAATCAATCTGATTTTTTGAACATATTTTTTGAAATTCTAGTATTAATTATTGATCTATTTGTTTTTTTTATATTTGTAGCATTACTTTTGGAGGCCAGCAAATTACGTCAACAATCCTTCAGGACTTACAGGGTCGAGAAACATTACGCGGTTAGCAACGGAAAATGGTATTTCGAGTTTGAAGTTCTCACAGCCGGGCCGATGCGCGTTGGTTGGGCAAAAGCCGATTGCACACCTGGAAATATGCTTGGCAGTGACGAAAATACTTGGGCATTCGATGGTTACAACGTAAGTATCGTTTTTCACTTTTTATAATTAAACAATTAGAATAACATTATATTCAATGAAATTTGTGAAACGATTTTTTTAGCGGATAATTTAAAAAGTGATAATCATATTTTTATAAAATTCTATTTCGAATTACAAGTAATAAATAAACGATATTGAAGACTTTTTACTAAAATAATATTGAAAATAATATTGAAAATATTTTTGCATTCAATCATTTTGAAATGCAAAATTATATCAGTAATTTATTATATGCTGTTATATTAGTTATTATACCGTAGTGATAATGTTTTATACTTTAATATTTGAGTTATTATAGCCACGAAAGGTGAGAATTTTAAAGCTCGTGTTAAACTTCTCTTTAACGAATAAAAATATTGAGCAGCGTTGTATGCAATAGTAGCATCTTGTTACAAGGCGAATGTAATATTAACATAAGCGTTGCGCGGCTCTCGCTCGTGATCTATGAAACATGAATAATCCATAAGAACATGAATGTCAGGTGACTAAAGTACACGCTGGCACCCACGAGTCATTTGGTCACAGATATCAAGTGGGAGACATAGTTGGATGTTTCATTGACGTGGCAGACCGAACGATCAGTAAGAGTCCCATCTTCCAAATTAGCCGATCTTTAAAGGCCCCGTACACATATTTCTTTTTTGTTCCTGAGTTTTCTCGTCACTACTATTGTCTTTGTCTCGCTCTATATGTTTCTTTCATGTTGACTTGGTTTTATATATCTTGCATCCTTGTCCCAAGACGAATGTTAATCGCTGGTGTAATTTCATTCGGCGAGGTGTGGCTTGAACTTTTTTCGATGTTGAGGGAATCCATGAAATTTCCTCGCGATATCTCTCTTTAACTTTGCACTATGCCAAAATTTTTCGCACGAACCTACACGACGAGATGCGTATAGCGATAAAAAAACATATAAATATATACAAATATATACAAGGTATTCTAGATCCACTACGCGCAAAATAAAACATCTCGTTTACATCTGGTTTGTCCCGATCTTCACGAGCGGAAATGTTGAACTGGTGAACATTTTATTTTAAAGGAGGAAAAAGTATACTCGGGCACGGCCGAAACTTTCGGCAAACAATGGCAGATCGGAGACGTTGTCGGTGTTTTCCTGGATCTAATTGACAGAACGATTAGTAAGACGGAATTTTTAAGCGAACGCTTCAGCTGCCATTTCAAGCTATATATATATATATAATTTGATCTCTAGTAATAGACTGGATTACTGGATACAGACATTGTGATTTTCAACACTAGTTCTTTGCATAATTATTTGTATTGCATAATGATTTTATTTTTAATATTGACTGATTAGATCCTGATTATATATAAATATTATATGTGTAGAATATATATGTATATAATGTAAAAATAAAATGGACAATTTTACCTATCAGCATACAAAAGTAAAATAATATTTAATGCAGAACACACACGACTATATTATAATCTGTTATATATTACGATTTTAGAATTATTCAATATCCAAACATTTCAAGCAAAATTTCGTGCCGCGCATTTCGGAGAGGAGAGCTTTTACTTCGCTTAAGCTTTCATAAAATGAAAACTCCATTGCGACAAACAAAAGGAGTAATCATGCATTTTTTGCACAGAAAATATTTCATCTCGCTATATTGTCATTTTAACACGTTGGAGTTAACAGCAAAACCAGAGATAATCCTGGTTTCTATCATTATTAATAATATCACGCTCTCGATCGATCGAAAATCATATCTGGCCCAATGTCTTTTCCGGTATCCAGTATTCTCAGTGTTTATACTGTCAGCGAAACACAACAGTGCTTCCATAACTCACATTTACTAATCATTAACACCAGGGTGTGACCCCAAATATTATATCAATCATATCACGTGCATTCTAAATAAAAATTTCCAAATACAATAACAATATAATGAAAATTTTTGCAAAACGTCACACATATTGAATCAATATTGAAGACAAAATATCGAAGAAAATGTCCCAGATTAAATGGATATGTATGTTTTCCTTATATAAAAATGTTATAATTTTTATTTTTTTTTATCTCGGCTAGATATTTATATTTTATCTTTTTTTTTATCGTGAGATAGATATTATCTATAGTGCATCGTCTATGTGTAATAATATTACGTATATTTTTGTGGATTTCATTTCACTCCTTTCAAGTAACGTTTGCATGCATATTCTGTCTGAATTTATGTTAACGTGTGGATCGTGTGAATATAAAAATAATCTCTTCTTCGAATATATATAAAGGAATATTATAATATCTCTGTCTAACTTTCCGTGCAAAGACAAAAGATATTAGCTAAATAGATAAAAGTAAGAATTTTTGTTGGATTTGATTCACATGATCCATTGTAGCACCTGCTTTGCCATAATATGTATGTAACAAATTTTGTAAGTATTCTTAGTCTAAAAAATTAGTCTTAAAATTTTTTTATTTGGTGAAACTGTAAATTCGTGTTTTACTTAAATGTCACATTTGGCATTTATAAATCGTTATAATGATTATTTATTGTTTAATTGCTTGGCATTGAATTTATGTTGTTTTTCAATAAGTCGAAACGAACATTGACATTTTAACAAGATTGAGTAAATAGAATTGTTTGTTAATAATTTAATTTAAATATTTTTCTATATTATATTTTCCTACGTAATGTTTTTTTGTCTATCCGTTTCGACTTTTTTCAATAGTTGATACAAGTGCATCATAATATAAATTTACGAATTACTTAGGCTTCTCCTTGAATGGAGAATTGCTGATGGATGCACTCGGTGGCGAAACTTCTTTCGCCGATGTACAAGGCGAATCTTTCGTGCCTGCGTTCACTCTTGGCGTCGGCCAAAAGGCAAAATTAACATTCGGTCAAGATGTGAATACTCTAAAATTTTTCACTACATGCGGTTTACAAGAGGGTTACGAACCATTCTGTGTGTAAGTAATATTAATTTATCACGTATTTTCTCGGAATATATATGAAAAATAATAGAAAATCAATGTTCATATCCATGTGTTGATATCCAAGTTTATAAATGCTCATTCTTATATCATAGAAACATGAATCGTCTAGTCACATATTGGTATACGAAAGATCAGCCTATATTCGAGAATACCGATGATATGGCTGATACGCGAATCGACGTGGCTAGAATACCAGCTGGATCTGATACACCACCGTGTCTAAAAATCTCTCATAATACATTCGAGACAATGGAAAAGGCTAACTGGGAATTCCTCAGATTATCGCTACCTGTAATTTGCCAATCCAATTTCATAACGGAGGGTGAGAAATTACGAAGATGGCAGGAGATCAAAATGCGACAGAATAAACTTTTAGCCGAGCAAATCGAACAAGGACAACAAGCTGCACCGTCGGCTCATTTGGAGCAAATCATGAAATCTGGCTTCAGTATGAGCGATATCAAAGGTAATGATCTAAAGTTATTAATTTGAAATATAAGTTTTGTTAGCAGATAAATTAATTATGTTGACAATACAAAAAGATAAATTTTTATTTGCTGTTGCACAATTTTAAGGGGAAATTTACGTAGATAAAATTATTTATTTTGATTAAAATATATTTAATTATATATATTTTAATTAAATTAAATAATTTTAAAGGGAAATTTATATATATATATGTGTGTGTATATGTTGAATAGGCCTGCAGAGAAATTACTCAGAGGATGCAGCCGAGGCAGATGAGATGCTGAAGGAATCGCCGCTTCCTATGCAAAGAGGCAAACCTGCCAGGCCGCCCAGGAAAGGTTCTCTTTATGGATCGCGTAATCTAGAAAATGCGGTTAGCGATGCTGAAATGAATGGATATGGCGAGATGAATGGTGACGTAAAGGACGAGAAGAAGAAACGTGGTCGATCACCTTTTCGGTAAGCATGAATTATTAACAATTATTGCCTTTAACAGATGTTGTAAAAAACAAATTGACTTCGGTACTTGACTTTGTTAGCAAGCTTAGCAAAGAGATGGAGGACGTACCGTAAGTTGAAATACTTTTTTCGGCGTTTTAATAAAATGTAAAATTACTATTAAAAAAATATTTGATGTTTTTAGTATCTCAATAATTATTTGGATGTAATTATTAATTTTTTGTTTAATAATTGATTTTTGTCGTATGCAGGTTCTTCTCGCGCAAAGCAAAATCTCCGGATGCAAAATCGAAAACACCTGAGCCGCAAGTTCGCTCGGATATCTCTGATAAAAGTACGAGAACACTCGGAAGTAAAAGTGCCAAAACTCCTCAAATTCGTGTTTCAACTGTGAGTACACATACATATTGCATTATTGCTATCAGAATAAAAATATTTAAAAACGTTTTAATGTAGATTAAGTTTATGAAAATGTAAAAAAAAATGTTTTTAAAATTTACACATGTATGTAAATTTTTAAATTGTTAAGAATTATAAAATTTTGTAAAATATCTTCTCGTAGACGGACTTGAAAGTCGTACCGCCTCAAATCCCGGACCGTAGCGTTCCCAAGACAATGTCTGTGTTAACCGGAAGCGGCGTCGAAGCGATCGGCAATGAAATCTTCGATGCTGAATGCATGAAATTAATGAATGAGTATTTTTACGGCGTTAGGATATTTCCTGGCCAGGATCCAACTCACGTTTACATTGGCTGGGTTACTTCGCAGTATCATCTGCATACAAAAGACTTCAATTTATCTCGCGTAAGAAAAGCTTCCGTTGCCATCATGGACGACTACGACCGTCTCGTAGACCAGTACGTTTCAATATTTTTTTGTTGTTCAATATTGTTCAATATTTTTATTGTTTTATTTTGAAAGAAACAATTAAAAGATTCAATATTTTTATTGTTTTATTTCAAAAGAAACAAAAAAAAGATATAGAAAATTGACTAAAAAGTGATATTAAAATTATCGTAGAGTCGACAGACAAAGCTGTTACATGGTTCGAGCGGACGAATTATACAACGAAGTCACACAGGATGCATCTGGCAAGGGTGCATCTCAGGGTATGTTCGTCGGGTGTTTCGTTGATATCGCCACAGGCTGGGTATCCTTCACCTGCGAAGGCAAGGAAACGAGTCACAAGTTCAAGATGGAACCGGACACGAAGCTGTTCCCGGCGATCTTCGTCGAGGCTACCAGCAAAGAGATCCTGCAGATCGAGCTCGGCAGGACCTCAACGACACTTCCGCTCTCGGCCGCAGTGTTGCAAAATTCCGAACGACACGTGATACCGCAATTCCCGCCTAGATTGAAAGTGCAATGCTTGAAACCTCACCAATGGGCCAGAGTGCCGAATCAGTCACTTCAAGTACACGCCCTAAAACTATCCGACATCAGAGGCTGGTCGATGCTATGCGAAGACGCTATCTCGATGCTGGCTCTTCATATACCTGAAGAGGACAGATGCATCGATATTCTGGAGCTTATCGAAATGGATAAGCTGCTCAGGTAAAACTTTGACAAAAAATTTACAAAGTAAAAAAATTTGAGAATAATTCTTTTTTTTTAACGTGATAAAATAATTTATTATTTAATCATTTCTCTTTTTTTCTCTTGCATAGTTTCCACGCGCATACATTGACGTTGTATGCAGCCCTGTGCTATCAATCTAATTACCGAGCGGCGCATGTTTTGTGTCAACATGTGGATCAGAAACAATTATTATACGCGATACGAGCCGAATATATGTCCGGACCCCTGCGACAAGGATTTTACGATTTACTTATCGCCTTGCATCTCGAATCACATGCGACAACGATGGAAGTGGGCAAAAACGAATATATAATTCCGCTTGGTAAATATTTTGAAAACTCATCCGTATTCTTGACCTCGTTAATTAAAAATTTAATTAAGTAATTTTGTATTTTTTCTGTCAAGATATATATTTATGTTCGTTACAATTGCTTGTCTATTGTATAGGTCAAGAACTGAAGGATTTATATGAAAATTCCGAGATGAGGCATAGTCTCAGATATTTGGAGACCGAATCCATTCGACCACAAATGAAAATGACAGAGATCAGGTAAGTAAAACTTTTTTCCGAATAGATGTGAAACCCCTACTAATCAATCGCCATCAAGGAATGTTCCTTCTAGTGATCAAGCAATTGAGAACATAAAGAACTTATACAGCCCGTATTTTCCACTTGATGTCGTGCGAGATTACGTGATGATGGCGCTTAACCAGGCTGTCGAAGTTAATCAAGTGCACAACCGAGATCCGATCGGAGGCAGCAACGAGAATCTCTTTTTGTATGTAAGATAAAAAGTTTGGCCGCTCTGCGCTACAACTGCTGCAACTGTTACTCTTCTTGCTGAATATTCTTCGTCAATATTATCGGAGCAGGGACATATCTAAAGCCGAAAACAAACCATGCAAATTTGTTTACTTCTCTTTTAAACAGGAATTTTAATCTGCTTATCGCTTGCGGCAGTTTCATTAATCGTAGATCGTTATTTGATATAATTTTGATATTACAGACCTCTTCTGAAGCTGGTAGATAGATTACTCTTAGTAGGCATGTTGAGGAACGAGGATGTAATCAAGCTGCTCATCATGATAAATCCCGAGACTTGGGACCCGACTTTCGATAAAGGCAAGCCGATTAAAAAAGTAACGTTCAACTATTAAATATTAATAGATGAGAAACATAATTTGATATAACATTCTTAAACTGTTGTAGAAGGTAAAGATGAACATAAGAAAGGCTTGTTACATATGAAAATGGCCGAGGGAGCGAAACTACAAATGTGCTATCTGCTTCATCATTTGAACGATATTCAGTTACGTCATCGTGTCGAATCTATTATTTCCTTCGCCTATGACTTCGTCGGAGAATTGCAGACCGATCAGTTACGACGTTACATCGATATCAAGCAATCGGATTTACCATCAGCTGTCGCTGCCAAGAAGACCAGGGAATATAGATGTCCTCCGCGCGAACAGATGAATGCCATTTTGAGCTTCAAGAATTTAGATGAGGAGGATCCGGAAAATTGGCCTTGTGGCGAGGAGCTCATTGGAAAGATGAATGAATTTCACAGTGAATTGATGTCCTATGTGTCTTTGAATGCTCTTCAAGAAGCAGCCAATGCTGCCGATGAACCAGCCGAGGAAGTTCAAAAACCTGGTGCCATGAAACGTCTCTTCAACTTCATCAATGCCGTCAAAGAGCTCGAGGAAGAACCTAAACCTGAACCTGAACCTGTGAAAAAGACTCCCGAAGGTAAACTCTTTGATTGATTTTATGCCTCATAATTTTTACAAAGAAGTATCAGAAAATATATTAATAAAAATTTATATGTATATATTTTTTTTTCAGAGGTGTTTCGAAAAGTGTTGATATCAACTATTGTGAGTTGGGCCGAAGAATCACAAATCGAGACGCCGAAACTTGTGCGAGAAATGTTTAGCTTATTAGTCAGACAATACGATACAGTCGGCGAATTAATCAGAGCTTTGGAGAAAACTTACGTTGTTAACAACAAAACCAAGGACGATGTTGCGCTGATGTGGGTCGGCTTAAGTCAGATTCGCGCCTTGTTGCCGGTGCAAATGTCTCAAGAAGAAGAAGCTTTAGTACGAGAGCGATTGTGGAAGTTGGTGAATAATCACACGTTTTTCCAGCATCCTGATCTCATCAGAGTGCTGAGAATTCACGAAAATGTAATGGCTATCATGATGAATACTTTGGGAAGACGTGCTCAGGCTCAATCCGATGCTCAAACTCAGGCTCAAGCAACTGAGGGAGAACCGACATCGAAAGAAAAGGATACCTCTCACGAGATGGTCGTAGCCTGCTGCAGATTTTTGTGTTATTTCTGTCGTACATCCAGACAAAATCAGAAAGCCATGTTCGATCATTTTGATTTCCTGCTAGAAAATAGCAATATCTTATTGGCTAGACCTTCACTACGAGGATCGACGCCTTTGGATGTAGCTTATTCATCGTTAATGGAAAATACCGAGTTAGCTCTGGCTTTAAGAGAACATTATCTAGAAAAGATCGCTATTTATTTATCACGGTGCGGCCTGCAATCTAATTCAGAATTAGTGGAAAAAGGCTATCCCGACTTGGGTTGGGATCCTGTGGAAGGTGAACGTTACCTTGATTTCTTGAGATTCTGTGTATGGGTCAATGGTAAATTTCATCATTTAATTCTTTATAAAAATAAGATAAATGTGCAGTATAAAAATCATCTCACCGGATTTTTTAAAACTCACATACTTTTTGTATTGAAGCGTAAAAATTGAATTATTGCTCTCGTCTTATTTTTAATAATAATTGTAATTAGTAAATATAATTTGCTGCATCATTTTTAACTTATAAAATATAATAATAAATTTTATATATAAATTTTCTGTTAGAAAAATAATAATTTAATATTTTTCAATCAAATAATATCCCTATAAGTATTAAAGTTTGATACGTAATATTATATAATAAATTATTGTGCATCTTTTATTAATATTTAGGGAAAGATAAAGAATTTATTATTCTAGCTTTACTGTTCACTCTTCCCTAAAATATATAATAATAAATGAATATGTTGTAATGTTTCTATTCTAACACTTTATATTTATTTTTAATGATAAGAGAATTAATTAGACAAAAAAAGATTTTATTGCTTATAAAAATAAATTTTATAAATTTTATAAATTGTCTGCTTTAAAATTAATAAAGTAATGATACAGAATAACACATTAGTATGTGTATTATTATATTTAAATATAATTATACGCGAGAACGAGAGCGACATATATTTTAAAGATTTCGTTTCTACATCTCGAAATATATAAAATATATGAGTTCTTAAAAAATCATTGAGATAGTATTTATATTAAACATTTATTAAGAATAATAAATTAAATATGATTTCTTTCTTTAACATATTAGGTGAAAGTGTGGAGGAGAATGCAAACTTGATAATCCGTCTGCTAATCAGAAGACCAGAATGTTTAGGTCCTGCCCTTCGAGGAGAGGGTGAAGGTCTATTAAGAGCCATCATAGAAGCTAACAAGATGTCCGAACGTATTGCTGATAGACGAAAAGTAAGCTATCTCATTTTTTTATAGTTAATTATAAAACTAAGGAATATAATCGAACTATTTCGTAAGTAAGAAATTATTCTGTTCTTGATTGCTGTTTGAAAAAAGTCCATGTGTGTATTTTTAATTACATTTCATTCCCTAAAATTTTGTATGTTCTTAAAACTTACAGGTTTTTATTAAATATTCCCCCAAAATAACTTTTCAAATTCTGATTTGCTTATATGTATAAGCAGATGTACAATCAATATATAAATATATGTGTATGTATTTGTGCATCTAGAACTCTGTATAATCTAATTTTTTATTTATATTTCAACAATCTACCCTTATTTGTTTTCTTTTAAAATTCACATGGTTTCACTTCGTTTTATTACATGTATTGTTTATTGTACAAAAATCTCCCATTAAAATTGATTTGTGCTTAGTTAGTTCCTCAACTAGTAATTCATACGATTGTATTTTTCTTAAAAGACACAAATCGAGTTTACTAAATATCGCATAAAATATTAGATTGAATTACCTGCAAATCATTTTTATGTGTTTGTAATCTTCAATTAATACGATATGAACTTAGTATCTCGCACAGGTACATGATGAAGCTGAAGGCACAGCTATGATGATGCAATTCGAGCATCCACTTCCGGAGTCAGATGACGATGAAGATTATATAGATACAGGCGCGGCGATTCTAAATTTCTATTGTACCCTTGTCGATCTATTAGGTCGCTGTGCTCCAGATTCTTCTGTCATAGAGCAAGGTAGTATTATAATCCAAAGAGTTAAATCTTCATATCTTCATTAATACAAAATCACAACCAATTATGTTCTGAACATGTTTTAATTATGTTTTTAAAAAAATTTTAATTTAATTCTTATTCTAATTATTTAAAATAATCAATGTACGTAAAATGTGTAATAAAATAGAGAGAGAAATAGAAAGAAATATTAATTAGAATTAATATATAAATAATATTTCATAATAGATAAATTTTCTTTAAATTTTGTTTTTTTTTTATATGATGTAAACAGATAATAATTTATATTTGTATGTGTGTGTGTGTGTGTGTGTGTGTGTGTGTGTGTGTGTGTGTATAAAATATCAGATAATTATACAAATTTTATTTTGAAATTGTGAGTGTTGATTTTTTTTTGAGTAAATTCATGTTTCATTGCACTTTCATTGGACATATTTTTCGTAACATAAATAATCATTAAAAATTTTTTGTTATATGTAAAGTGCAATGAATTATTTAATAACAATATTTTATTTTCTTTCTTAATGAGCAAAAGAGGCCTCGACAAAGTCAGTTGGTAATATATGAAAGAAAACTTTGCTTTAAAATAATTAATGTCCAAACAATGCATCTTTATTTGAAATATTAAATTATTTCAGGAAAGAACGAATCTCTACGAGCCCGGGCAATTTTGAGATCTTTAGTACCATTGGACGATCTTCAGGGTGTGTTGTCTCTGCGATTTACATTACTGAATCCTGCTGCTGGCGAGGAACGACCGAAAAGCGATATGCCGTCTGGTTTGATACCAGGCCACAAACAAAGCGTTGTATTATTCTTGGAATGTGTTTACGGTATCGAAACGCAGGAATTATTCTATAAAATATTGGAAGAAGCTTTCTTACCAGATCTTCGTGCCGCTACTATGCTTGATAGAGTAAGGATTATTTTATTTATCTCGAACATAATATTATTTATTCATTACTATCCTCATAATCACTCATTCATTATTTTAAAATAACAAGAGCGAGAATAAGAATGAAATTAAAATAATTAAAAAGTAAAATAATTAAGAAAAATAGAATAATTAAGAATCTCTATACTAATTGATTTAATTTTCTCGCAGAATGATGGATACGAATCTGATATGGCACTCGCTATGAATCGCTACATAGGAAACAGCATTCTGCCGCTGCTAATCAAACATTCGAAATTCTATAATGAGGCAGATAATTATGCGAGTTTACTCGATGCTACGTTGCACACGGTTTATAGACTCAGCAAGAATCGAATGCTGACGAAAGGACAGAGAGAAGCTGTCTCGGATTTCCTCGTCGCGTTGACTAGGTAAACGAAAAAACTTCTCCAATATCATCTAAATCGATTAATTGAATATTTTTACTCTTCAAGAAAAATCCACGTGCTAATCATTTTTATTTTCAAAAATAACTTTAATCTTGCTTGCAGCCAGATGCAGCCGAGCATGTTATTGAAATTATTGCGAAAACTAACTGTCGACGTGTCAAAATTGTCGGAGTACACTACTGTTGCTCTCAGAGTACGTCGATTATGTAATCGTTTTGTCAAATTATCTGCCATTTTTGTATATTAAAAATTAATAATCGCAAAACTTCGTTAATATCTGTTAGTAATTTTACTATTTTTTTTAGTTATTAACGTTGCATTATGACCGTTGCGCGAAATATTATGGCTCCACCGGCTCTGGTGGTCAAGGCACGTACGGCGCATCGAGCGACGAAGAGAAACGCCTCACGATGGTTCTCTTTAGTAATATTTTCGATTCTTTATCCAAGATGGATTACGACCCAGAACTTTTCGGAAAAGCTCTGCCATGCTTGACGGCTATCGGTTGTGCCTTGCCGCCAGATTATTCTTTGTCAAAAAATTATGACGACGAGTGGTATGGCAGCAAGTCGGCCTCGGCGCAATCACCTGATGGGCCTTACAATCCGCAACCAATCAATACGTCGAGGTTATTATTAATTTTTTATTACAAAAATTTTCTACAAATATATTAAATTATATAATATATTAAATATTTTATAAAAATTCTGTATACTTATAAATAATGAAATTAATAATTGAAAAATAATAATTAGAAAGTAAAATTTGAGAAGACCATTATTTTGAAATTATAATCTTTTTTAGCGTGGTGCTTAATAACGATCTTAATCAAATAGTACAAAAGTTTTCCGAACATTATCACGACGCTTGGGCTAGTCGTAAATTAGAAAATGGATGGACTTACGGTGATCAATGGTCGGATGTGAATAAAACTCATCCAAGATTAAAGCCGTATAATATGTTAAGCGATTATGAACGAGAACGATATAAAGAACCTGTTAGAGAGAGTTTGAAAGCTCTTTTGGCGATTGGTTGGAATATAGAACATGCAGAAGTCGATGTACCGTCGACCAATCGCAGTTCTATGAGAAGATCTTCTAAAAGTCAAGTAAGAAAAAAATTATTCATCTAAAAATTTACTATATTTATATTAGAAAAGAGATATATTTATATATTTTCATGTATTTAAAATATGTAGGGTGATTCGGCGAGTCCGTTTAATTATAATCCTCACCCGGTGGACATGACTAATTTGACCCTAAGCAGAGAAATGCAAAATATGGCCGAACGTTTAGCGGATAATGCTCACGATATTTGGGCGAAGAAGAAGAAAGAAGAGCTCATTACTTGTGGTTAGCATAGACTGCTCTATTATAAAGATTAATATCTTGGTATTTTTTAATTTCGAATTAAAATTAAAATTGAATAATTTTTTCTGATAATATATTTTATAATTATAGGAGGCGGCATTCACCCTCAGTTAGTTCCCTACGATTTATTGACTGATAAAGAGAAGCGAAAAGATCGCGAGCGATCGCAAGAGTTTCTCAAATATCTACAGTATCAAGGTTACAAGCTTCACAAACCTAATCGTGGCGGTACCGAAACTGAAGTGGCTGGCGCCGCTGCTTCAGTAGAATTAAGATTCGCTTATTCACTGTTGGAGAAACTAATAGCTTATCTGGATAAGGCGACGATTAATATGAAACTCCTGAAACCCTCTGATACATTTAGCCGAAGAAATAGCTTTAAAACCTCCACAAGAGACATTAAATTCTTCAGTAAAGTAGTTTTGCCGTTGATGGAGAAGTACTTTAGCACACATAGAAATTATTTCATCGCAGTAGCTACCGCCACGAATAATGTCGGCGCAGCGTCCTTGAAGGAAAAAGAGATGGTGGCCTCTCTTTTCTGTAAATTAGCGAGTTTGCTAAGATCGAGACTCGCCGCCTTTGGTGCAGACGTGAGGATAACAGTTCGTTGTCTACAAGTGCTCGTGAAAGGCATAGATGCCAAGAGTCTCGTGAAAAACTGTCCAGAGTTTATTAGAACGTCCATGTTGACTTTTTTCAACAATACCGCCGACGATTTGGGCCATACGATCCTGAATCTTCAAGAGGGGAAATACAGTCATCTCAGAGGCACTCATTTGAAAACGTCCACATCATTATCGTACATTAATAGCGTCGTTTTGCCAGTGCTTACTGCAATGTTCGACCATCTTGCTGCGTGCGAATATGGCAGCGATTTGTTACGTAAGTGTAAAATTTGTCACACTTTAAAATAATTTTATATATATATATATATATATATATATATATATATATATATGTGTGTGTGTGTGTGTGTGTATAATATCATAATTTTTTCTTTATTCGATAGTCGATGAAATTCAAGTAGCATCGTACAAAATGCTGGCGTCTTTATACACTCTCGGAACAGACGCTAGTTTAACGCACGAGCGAAAGTACCTGAAGACTGAGATCGACCGACATAAACCGAATCTGGGTTCTTGTCTGGGTGCCTTTTCGAGTTGTTTCCCGGTAGCCTTCTTAGAACCGCATTTAAATAAGCACAATCAATATTCCCTCCTGAATCGAATCGCAGATCATTCTCTGGAAGCTCAAGATATTATGACGAAGATGGAATCAAGTATGCCAACCTTGGAGACGATTCTCACCGAGGTGGATCAATTTGTTGAATCTGACAAGACTTACAACGACGCTCCTCACATCGTCGACGTAATTCTACCATTGTTATGCTCCTATTTGCCTTTCTGGTGGGCCCAAGGGCCTGATAACGTGAATCCAACTGAAGGTACTTATGTCAGTATGATTACTAGCGATCACATGAATCAGTTGTTGAAAAATGTGTTGAAGCTAATCAAAAAGAATATTGGCAACGAAAATGCCCCGTGGATGACGCGCATCGCTGCCTATACACAACAAATCATCATCAACTCGTCTGAAGAATTGCTGAAGGACCCGTTCTTGCCTCTCGCCGAACGTGTCAGGAAGCGAACGGATACCATGTTTCATAAAGAAGAGTCTCTTCGTGGTTTTATCAAATCCTCGACCGATGATACATCACAAGTTGAGGCGCAGATACAGGAAGATTGGCAGCTATTGGTTCGCGATATCTATTCATTCTATCCTCTGTTGATAAAGTATGTCGATCTTCAGAGAAATCATTGGTTGAGGAACAATATTTCTGAGGCCGAGGATCTATATAATCACGTAGCAGCCATATTTAATATCTGGTCCAAGTCGCAATATTTCTTACGTGAAGAACAAAATTTTATATCTGCGAACGAGATCGATAATATGGTGCTCATCATGCCTACTGCAACCAGAAGACCTGCTGCAGTATCTGATGGCAGCGCGCCCTCCGGAGGAAGCAAGGTTCGTACAACTTATTTAATAATAATTTAACAATAATTGTATAATAATTAGCATTATGCATTTATCTCGAAAGAAAAGTAATCAAATATTTCTTCGGTAATCAAATATTTCTTTTTAGAAAAAGAAAAAACATCGTGACAAAAAAAGAGACAAGGACAAGGAAGTGCAAGCATCCTTGATGGTGGCGTGTCTAAAGCGATTGCTACCTGTCGGCTTGAATCTGTTTGCCGGTCGCGAACAGGAGTTGGTACAGCATTGCAAAGACAGATTCTTAAAGAAGATGCAGGAGCAAGAGATCGCGGAATTTGCCAAAACTCAATTAACATTGCCGGATAAAATCGATCCTGCCGACGAGATGTCTTGGCAGCATTATTTATATTCTAAATTAGGTCAGAAGAAAGATGCGCTAGAGCCTTCTACGAAGGCTCAACAATTGGAGGATGTCGTCGCTAGAATTACCGATATGGCGAAAGTTTTGTTCGGTTTACACATGGTTAGTTATAGAAATTTTTCTATTTGACGTTGAAATAATTTTCAAAATTTTCTGGACACTTAAATTACTCAGAATAATTTCCTGGATCTGAGATTCTTTTAATTTGCTAAATATTTTTATAATTACTAGAAAATTAAAAATTTCATTGTTTCCTGAGGATCACCATCATTTTTCTTTTTCTTTAAGTAATCAAAATATTCATCATATTTATTCCGTGCTTTTATGTTCTCGAGTAGATTGATCATCCACAACAGCAGAGCAAGAGTCAATATCGATCCGTGGTATCGATCCAACGTAAACGAGCGGTAATCGCTTGCTTCCGCCAAATTTCCCTACATTCCTTGCCCAGGTATCCTTCTTGCTATTTTTTATGTTTTTGATTTAGTTGCTTCAGTTAATCCTTCAGTTGCAATGTTATTATTAATTTTTTAACATCATTAGAATCATCTTTATTTTGAGTTACATCAGATATTGTCGATGTATTTTGCATTATTTTACATAGAATTAATTAGATATTTTGCTGTTTGTTAACAAAAAAGAGATATTACGGGACAATAGGATAAGATTAATCAATTTTTAGTGTGCAATCTCTTATATAATACCGATTGCAATAACTAATAAATGTAACTGTTAATAATTTAGCATAACTATTAATAATGAGAGTGTATTTGTTGTTGTTTGTGCGCACATTAACAGGCGACAAAGCCACCACCATCGCGAGATGGATGGAAACGCGTATTATGCGCTGCCAGAAAAAGAGCAGCGATTGCATGCTTACGTAGTGAACCTCTGTATAAATTGAGAAGGTATGATTAACGCAAATTAATATCTACTGTATATATGCACAAAACAATTTCTTTATAACACGAATGTAAACCGTTAAAATATATAATACGTATATATAATTTTATTAAAATTATAATTATATAAAGTTATTTAAAAAATTTATATTATATTAAATTTAATTTATAATTATTATCTTTTCCTAGGCATCGTGCAATAAACATTTTTGCACGAACATATTATGAAACGTGGCTACAAGAAGAAAATGTCGGTCAAGAAGTAATGATCGAGGATCTTACGGTAATTGCACTTATTATTTGCACCTATTATTTGATTTATTCTGAAATATAATATTTAAATGTATATTTTTAATACACACACACACATATGTATATAATTCATATTAAAATTTAAATATATAGAAATTTTTTTTTTCTTTAGCAATCATTCGAAGATGCTGAATTGAACAAAACGGAATCTGAGGATGAAGGCAAGCCAGATCCATTGACACAATTGGTGACAACATTCTGTCGCGGTGCAATGACTGAACGGTCAGGTGCGCTTCAAGAAGATCCGCTTTATATGAGTTATGCACATATCATTTCCAAATCTTGCGGAGAGGAAGAGGAAGAAGGTGAAGAAGAAGGTGATGGCGGTGGTGGCAGCGAAGAAGAAGGTGGAGCTTCGATCCATGTAGGTATCTTCGATTAATAAGTTTTCATTTGTAGATAGATAATTTGAATGAGAATAATCGAATCCTTTGACAATTTCCCGAAATCTGCCGCATTAACGAATTCCCTATTTTTTTCTAACTTACTAGAAGCTGACACGTAAGCTACTTATGGTAAGAATAAGTAGTTAGTGCGAGAATTTATCCGCTTAATGTATGCTCGCAGTCCAAAGTGTCAATCATATATGTTCCTCGCATTTCGACATCTAAACCTGTTTAATTATACACTGTCTTATTCATTGAAACGATGTAAAATATCATTCATAAGCAAGCAAAATATTGTAGATTATTGCGATTGTTTTCCTCTTTTTAATTTCGAAATTTATTACTAACAATATTATTAAATTGTATGTTCTTTCTTTTAACGTAACTCTCAAGAGGCCCATGCATAAATTAATGGTAAGATACTGATATGTATGCTATATTTATATACACGTTAAAAAAAAATAATGCACGTAAAATAAAAGTTGTATTTTTTGAATAGCAAATAATTAAAAATTGTGTATGAAAATTACATTATAAATTAATATAATTTTTATACATAATATGTTATTTGCATCATGTATATTTATAAAATTTAAGTATTTGATTTCATTTATATTTATTATGCTATGTAATTATAGGAGCAAGAGATGGAAAAACAGAAGCTTTTGTTCCATCAAGCTCGCCTAGCGAATCGCGGTGTCGCAGAGATGGTTCTCTTACACATATCAGCGTGCAAGGGTGTTCCCAGTGATATGGTAATAAAAACTCTGGAACTTGGAATTTCGATTCTGCGTGGCGGCAATATCGAAATTCAGCGAGGAATGCTGAATCATCTCAAGGAGAAGAAGGACGTCGGTTTTTTCACATCCATCGCGGGTCTAATGAACTCTTGCAGCGTATTGGATTTGGACGCTTTCGAGAGGAATACAAAGGCTGAAGGACTCGGTGTCGGTTCTGAAGGTGCAGCCGGCGAAAAGAATATGCACGATGCTGAATTCACTTGTGCTCTATTCCGGTTTATCCAACTCACTTGCGAGGGTCATAATCTCGGTAAGTGTTACGTTACTGTTGATTGAAAGCTAAATTTAATCGAGTAACATTTATCACTTTATATAATTTGTATCTGTGATAGATTGGCAAAACTACCTCAGAACACAGGCTGGTAATACAACTACAGTGAATGTCGTTATATGTACCGTTGATTACTTGCTGCGACTGCAGGAATCGATCATGGATTTCTACTGGCATTATTCGAGCAAGGAACTTATCGATCCTGCCGGCAAAGCAAATTTCTTCAAGGCTATCGGTGTCGCCAGTCAAGTTTTCAACACACTCACAGAAGTTATTCAAGGTCCATGCGCGCAAAATCAACAAGCTTTAGCGCATTCGAGATTGTGGGATGCGGTTGGAGGTTTTCTTTTCTTATTCTCGCACATGCAGGACAAATTGTCGAAGCATTCTAGCCAAGTAGATCTTCTCAAAGAATTATTGAATTTGCAGAAGGATATGATTACCATGATGCTTTCCATGCTTGAAGGTATGTATCCTTTTTTTAAATTTTATATATTCGAAGAAATAAATAAAATAATTAATATTTATCTAATTTTTAAAGGCAACGTGGTGAACGGAACAATCGGAAAACAGATGGTAGATACCTTGGTCGAATCAGCAAGTAACGTGGAATTGATCTTGAAATACTTCGACATGTTCTTAAAATTGAAAGATCTGGTATCATCGCCAAGTTTCTTAGAAGTTGATTTTAACAACGACGGCTGGGTGTATCCTAAGGATTTCAAGGAGAAAATGGAGCAACAGAAGAGTTATACCAAGTATATTTAAAAACTACCAATATTTTGCTCGAATTATTTTATTTTGTTTAGCAACATAATTAAATTTTAATTTAAAATACTTTCAGCGAAGAGATTGAATTTCTTCTGGCCTGTTGCGAGACAAATCACGATGGCAAGATCGATTACGTCGCTTTTATGGATCGCTTCCACGAACCAGCAAAAGAGATCGGTTTTAATCTTGCCGTATTGCTTACTAATCTGTCCGAGCATATGCCTAACGAGCCGAGATTAGCTAGATTTTTGGAGACAGCTGGTTCAGTCTTGAATTATTTCGAGCCATTCTTAGGCAGAATCGAGATCCTCGGTGGCAATAAAAAGATCGAGCGTGTGTACTTCGAGATCAAGGAATCGAACATTGAGCAGTGGGAAAAACCGCAGATCAAGGAATCAAAGAGAATATATTTCTACAATACAGTGGTCGAAGCCGGTGAAAAGGAGAAACTCGAGACCTTCATCAATTTCTGCGAGGACGCCATTTTTGAGATGCAGCACGCGAGTGCGTTAATGACTGTCGAGGAAAGCGGTGGCATCGGCAAAGCAAGGGAGTCCTCGTACACGTACTTGACCGAGGACGATGAAGAGAGAAATAAAGATCCGATCAGACGAGGTATACAAGCCTTCAAAGACGGCATCTACTACTGCTTCTACTTGTTCTCGCCGACCAATATTAAAAACAAGATTGCCGAGATGCAGCAGATGACGATTCCCGAGCTCTTTATCGGCTTTTTCAAAATGATCTTTTACGCCTTCTATTATTCCGGCTTTGGCATCGGCTGCGTAATCAAATACTTTATGGGTCTTTTGTTGACGTTAATGAGAGGACCACGATTAGAGGAGCCTGTTGCCATCAAGGAGGAGGAGGAGAAACCGTCCAGACTTTTACCCGCTTTGCCACCAACACCAGATGAATCGAATCTACAGGTAAGATTTTTTCGATATAATGTAAAAATATAATATAACGATAATATAACAATGTTATATAATATAAAGATAATATAGCGACGTTAAAAATTATGTTAAATAATATCTTTTGTGCAGGTGCAAGCTTTCGGAATGGATATAACGAAAGAGGAAGGAGGACAAATAAGAATAGCACCGCATGAATCGAGCACTTCTACGCCACAATCTAGTATCGAAGAGACGGGCGAAAGCACACCTGACGAAGGCACCGGTGAAGAGGGAGCGACAGCTGAAGGAGGAGAGAGTGAAGCACCTGTCACTTTAGCCGATTTGCTTGGGTCAGTATAAAAACTAATATAAACGTTAAAAAACAATATTCAAATATTTTTATTTGGAAATAATAGAATAAATAATAGAATAAAATAAAGCAGATAAATATTATATAAGTATATAAAAAATGATAGGCATGTAAATAAATTATTTAATTTCATAATAATTTTTAAGCTTATTAATATACACATGCGCGCATGCATTTACATGCCCACGTAAAATTACTATTTTATAATTTAACACTTTAATTTTTTTATGTCAATAATGATCGATTAAAGCAGTAGTAATTTTTATTCTGTATAGAATCAATCGATTTCATTCTTTTAGATCAAGATTAATACATTAAATCGTTAAATCATTTTTTATTCGTACAAAAAAAGTTTCCGATAAGTGCAGAGTCATTTTAAATAAATAGATACTCCTAATTGATTATAAAAATTAAATTAATTTCATCTTAAAAATTGCTCACCTTTTCTTAAAGCAGAAAATAATATGTTCGTAACGTAAAATATATCTCGATGTAGAAAAGTTTCTCTCTCTCTCTCTCTTGCTTTCTCATTGTTGAAATAAATTATAAAAAATATATATTTCTCGTTTTTAATAACATCAAAAATTACTATCTTTTTTTAAAAATTAAAATATTCGTCTTATTTTATAGCTATAAATAGAATTTAAATAATGTATGGAATTAATTTTTAATGCATTATTTGTGTATGATTGTTTTATCTTAATTAAGTAATTTGCTATGATATTGATATAGCGGAGAACAAGCTAGGGCTCAAGCTGCCGCAGCGGCCGAAGCAGCAGCAGCTCAACAAGCAGCCATGGCAGCGGTTGAAGCCGAAGCAAAGCAAGAACCCTCAGTCGAACCTTCTACAGGATCAAGTATCGATTTATCCGATTACAGCCACCGCGTAGTGTCTTTCCTAGCTAGAAATTTCTACAATTTGAAATATGTTGCATTGGCTCTCGCCTTCTGTATCAATTTTATGCTGCTCTTTTATAAGGTTGGTAAAAGTTTTATAATAGAGAATTTATATATTTTACATTTTTATAAAGATGAGGTATATTTTAAAATCTTTACTAAAGATTTCATAAACTCATATTATTTATATATATAGATCTAAAAGAGAAACAGATTTTATTTTTTTTTCTCATGTATGTTAATTTTAATTTAGGTTTCGTTTTTGGCTGTGGATTTGAATGAAGAAGGTAGTGGTAGAATAGCAGATATCTTGGCAGAAATGTCGGGCGACGGTCCATCAGGTTTAGCGGGTAGCGGCGTTGAAATGGGCAGTGGTAGTGGTGAATCGGATGATTCGGAAGAGGAAGACGAAGACGATCAGGAATTCGTGGAAATGGATTATTACTATATGGCTCACGTTATGAGATTATTGGCTGCTCTTCATTCTCTCGTTTCGCTCGCTATGCTAGTTGCATATTATCACTTGAAGGTATATTTGAAAGCCGAATAATTTATAATTATTATTATTTAATCAATTATTATTTAATAAATTTAAATTAAATTATATTATTTGAAGCTTGAATATTTTCTGGTAATAATTTTTAATTTTTAATATAAAATTTTAATTAAGTATTTTTGCAAATATAATAAATATAACCATTTCATGATTCATATAATAAAAAACATATATTTTTCAGGTTCCATTAGCTATCTTCAAACGAGAGAAGGAAATTGCACGACGAGTAGAATTCGATGGATTATATATAGCCGAAACGCCGGAAGAGGATGACATTAAAGCGCATTGGGACAAAATGGTAATATCAGCGAAAACTTTCCCTGTGAATTATTGGGACAAGTTTGTGAAAAAGAAGGTCCGCCAAAAATATAGCGAAACATACGATTTCGATTACATCAGCAATTTGCTGGGAATGGAAAAAACTTCTTTCAGTCAACAGGAAGAAGAAGGATCTGGCTTGATACATTTGTAAGTGAATGTCTTGATAGTTTATGTCCTATATCTGTCTATATCTTGATAGTTTATGTCCTATATCTTTTGATGAGATTTTGTGATAGAAAAACTGATGTTTTGCAGCATTATAACTATCGATTGGAGATATCAAATTTGGAAAGCCGGTGTCACCATTACAGATAACGTATGTATTTTTAAATAAATTAAATAAATAAGTTCAAGAAGAATTTTAATTAATTTAATATAATTTTATAAATACACTTATTTCAAAAAATATCTATATATTTAAATATATTATTTTATTTCTAGGCGTTTTTGTATAGTTTGTGGTACTTCGTATTTTCAATCCTCGGAAACTACAATAATTTCTTTTTCGCTGCGCATCTATTGGACGTCGCGGTCGCCGTCAAAACTCTGAGAACGATTTTACAATCGGTAACGCATAACGGCAAGCAACTGGTCTTGACAGTGATGCTACTGACAATCGTAGTATATATCTACACCGTGATAGCTTTCAATTTCTTTAGAAAATTCTACATACAAGAGGAAGACGATGAAACGGACAAAAAGTGTCATCATATGTTAACGGTATGAAAAATATACCGTATAAAAAATTTTTTTATCTAATTATAATATATTTATCTCTCTATCTTTGCAAGTTATATAAACTTTCCACAATATTTTAATTTCAAGCTACTGATATAATTCTATTTCTTTTCGCAGTGCTTTGTTTTCCATTTGTACAAAGGCGTAAGAGCTGGAGGTGGCATAGGTGATGAGATCGGTGAACCTGATGGCGACGATTACGAGGTTTATCGTATAATGTTCGACATCACATTCTTCTTCTTTGTGATCGTTATTCTATTAGCTATCATTCAAGGTAAGCGCGATTGTTCTTCGATTCGCAACAGAAAGAGAGACCGATGTGATATCGCGATCGATTTTCAGGTTTGATCATCGACGCATTTGGTGAACTTCGAGACCAGCTCGACAACGTGAAGACGAATATGGAGAGTAATTGCTTCATATGTGGCTTAGGGAAGGAATATTTCGACGCGGTGCCGCACGGGTTTGATACTCACGTTCAGCAGGAGCATAATTTAGCGAATTATATGTAAATATTTTATATATTTTTTAATTTTTCGAGAGAAGAATGTCTCATCGATTTTGAAAAATATAATCTTCGATCAACAGGTTCTTCCTCATGCACTTGATTAACAAACCGGACACCGAATATACCGGTCAGGAGACCTACGTGTGGAATATGTATCAACAAAGATGTTGGGACTTCTTCCCAGTGGGCGACTGCTTCCGCAAGCAGAACGAGACCGTAGAGGAAGAGGCCAAGAAGAAGTAAAATTAAAATCTCATTTCTAATTAAGAAGTGACCAATCGATCGATTAACCGATCTCACTTGTCAAAAAGGACTTCTCTCCTTGAACAGCGTCTTCGATTATTTTTAGCATCAATTTTTGCTCATTGGACGAGAGTGTAAAGTCAACGTCCGTTCGAAAAATCAAATTTTTAAAACTCTACGTCTCTCTTATCTCATATCGACGCGCGAGGAGAGATTTTACCTCATAAAAACTTGTGTCTCCCCCCGTTTTCCATTTCACAATTTATTGTTATTTCAACTAATTAATAGATTGAGTCTAGTGCATTAATTATGTACTGCGTGTGTAATAAGGATGTCTGGACGCGGAGAATTTCGCGCCCGATGTCGCATCGCGCGTATAAAATTGAAAATATTTTTTCAACTTTGTAAAGATAACTCGAGAACGCGGTACCACCGATAATCTTCTCTTTTAGATAATCAATCAATCGAAAGTTGACAAAAGCTCGATTTTCTCCAAACGACGATACATTATTGTTGAATCGACAGAATCGACTGCACAAATTTACATATTCCTAGCGCTACAATTGCCTTCTTTTCGTACGTCGGATCTATGATATCTGTACTTGTGCATAATTGGTGCGCTGTATCGAAGGATAACAAGTTTGAAATATATGATATAGAAATATATGATAAGTAAGTTGAAGATATTCAAAGTTTATATAATGTGCAAATCTCTCTTTGATTGCTATAAGAACGAGAACTTTTTGGACATTATTTATGACTGAGCTCACAGTATATATATCGGAAAAGATGTCAATATATTGTAAATAAAAACAAGAGTATCTGGTAATAAAGACATACTTCTTTACTTCGTTATCCCAGGATCTTTTCTTAATTTTATATAAATTTATATTTATTTATAAATTTAAATTATTTGCATGTACTTTCAAGTATATTATTTAATACTTAAGTACTCTTACTTTTATATGCAAAATTTTAAAAATAAGTTAAAATTTACAAATCACAAATTGTTAATAATACAAATTATTAATATTTTTATTTAATTTACGTTAATCTCTATGATTGTTATATAAGGATTATATCGATTTTGAGTCTTGAAAATTATATCAAAATTGTTTGCATTATAATTACATTAAGATAATTTACATATAATTATATTACGAGAATTTTTTCATATACTTTTAAATGTAGAAATATAAAAACTAGTTTTTGACGATCAATACTATCAATCTTCGACAATTTTGAGGTCGGAATTTTGCACGACGCCACATCGCCTCGCACGCGATGTCGTCTACCGTGTGGCACAGTAAAATCCCATATATTTCCTATCACGATACGTACTCAAGGGAACCCAGAGAAAGAAAGAGAGGATGAGAGAAAGAGAGAAGAGCAACAAGAGTAACGGCGTGTCCCTTTGCGCCGAGGGCGGAAGGAGGTCGCGCAAGCGCCTCGATTCAGCAGCCGCTCGCCGGCGAGAAGCCTTCAGGGTGAAAATGCACCATGGCATGGGTGGATCGGTGGGCGATCGTCACGGCGTTCAAAATCCGGCGATGCAGGCCAGGAATGGGGTGTGCGACAAAATCGAAAATTACATATCCGAGCTAGGCCGATGGTACGTGAGTAATCGCGGGGCACAAACGCTCGCAGGAGCGTGTTTTTTCCACCCTGTACCGTTTCGTGGGAATGGTGAGATCGGGCGGGAGGGGGCGAACGACCCGGGCATGAAAGTGGCGGGTGTTTAGCTACCTTTCGTCGTGTAGCTCCCCATAATTGATATAACAATGTGTAATTGCGATATAATCTTAGTTTTGATTACAAATACCTTAGACGTATCTTTATGTTAAACATGGTAATGATTGATAACGAATCGATATAATTGAATAATATAGTGACCGATACAGTGACAATACGAACCCGGAAATTCGAATTATATTAGTGTTAGTGTAATTTTACGTGTGTAGAATTCGTAGAACTTTCCTTTTGTTAAAATATGGATATTTCAGTATTTTTCTTTTATATCTCTATTTTTCTTTTCTGGCGTTTTTATTCGAATAATCTCTTTGACTTTTCCATTAATTTAGAAATCTGTAAATATTCCTTATCATATAAATTAATAATTTGTTTATTTTTTTGCGACTTGTATTTTGCCGAACCGGCTCGCGATTTGGTCTGACCATTCTCAGATATTACTACTGAATATTCATTGAAGAAAATTAATTGCATATTTTTTCCCACATGAGAAATACACATATTTCTTGTACTAGAATAAATGAATTTTAAATATTAATCTTTATATTATAAAACATGTAATAAAATTATTAACTTTCTCAAGGCTTATTTAAATTTGTAATTAAAAATATAGTATCATATAATCTATGATACATATACATAAAATATATGTACATACACATTTGCATATTTTCGAGATAAGTTCGTTTGTTAAAGCAATATAATATAAAACAGGGCAGTATGGAGGGCGATAATAATGGGCCAATTTCTCTCGCTGGTGCTATGCTTCATGACGCTCGTAAATCATCACATAAACACCGCCTCGTACAAGCTTTCGCTTCCAACAGGTAATTTATTTACTTAAAAATTAATTTTGCATTTTTGCGTCTTCAAGACTTCAACTAATTGAAAGCAATATCAATCTTTGTGCAAAACTTTCTTCTTCGTTACTAATCGATTATTATTTTGCGAGACAGGACAAAATCTTCCACACTATGTGATGATGTGCTTAGTTTATACGACGTGGATGTCCTGCAGAGGTGTGGGGAATGGCCTAATTTCCGTTATAAGAGCCCGTGGCTGGAGATACTTGCTGTTAGCACTGATTGACGTTGAAGCATGCACGCTTATTACATCGTCACATCAATTTACCAGCCTCGCTAGCATACAGGTATATTCATGAATGCACAGATATTTTATCAAGAGCGAAAACGATACTGATTCGAATATGATAATTACATTTCTAATTTTTTATAACAGATTATTAATTTGAATAATTTTTATAGAGATATCGCTCTTTTTGATTTTATGTTCATAAATATTTATTACATCTTCATTTCCTATATTACATTAAATAATCTGTGAAAATTTATCATCGTTTTTCACGTTTATTTTTTCGTATTTAAAAATAATCCTCATTGATACGTGATTTTTGTCGTTTAATATATAATTTCCCATTCACGCATAACTTTGTCCATCCATACATATAGTTTGCGCTTGTATTATCTAACAAACGTAGTACTCGCGTCAGCTATGAATGGCGTGCGGAACAGATATTGTAGCTGCACGGCTATAATGAAAAGGAGGACGTTAGGTCTTCGACCTAACAATGCTCGTTTTCTCTCGCTGTCCGAGCCATTCATTCTTAATCAAACGCGCTGCAAACATTATGAACTATTTATTATTGCGTGATTCACATGTATTGGGCACACTTTTATATGCGACATATTCTATAGATATTACTATAAAAGTTATTTATATACGAATTGTACAACGAAAAACAATACTTTTAGCTTCTCGACTGTGTGGCGATACCGGTTGCCTTGGTACTCTCGTTTCTAGTATTGGGCGTCAGATACAGAATGGTACACATCGTTGGTGTGTCCGTTTGTTTGATGGGCGTCGGATGCCTAGTTTGGGCCGGTATAGATGACAATAATCCTACGGCTACCGGTAATTATCAACGATTATTACATGCAAATAAATGACCATTACACGATAGAAGACAGCAACGGAGAATTCAATAAAGTTGTTATTATCATTATTATTATTTATCGTGTCAGGAAAGAATCAACTCGTCGGCGATATGCTTTGTCTCGGAGGCGCGGTATTATTTTCGGTGACGACAGTCCTGCAAGAGCTGGCCGTTAAAACAGTCGATATTATTGAATACCTGGGCATGATCGGTTTCTTTGGCACAATATTGAGCTGCATGCAAACGTGAGTACGTTTGAAATTGAGAGCTTTCTAATGAATGTCTCGAATAAACAATATTTTTTTTCCAATCGTTTTCCTACAGTGCCGTGCTCGAGAAATTTCAAATAGAAACGTTCCATTGGGACAACGCACCGGTAATAACGATCCTGATTCTCTATTGCATCACGCAATTCATGTTCTTCTCTCTAGTGCCGGTAATATTGTTTGAGTCTGGTGCTACTGCATTGCAACTGGCGCTACTCACTTCGGATTCCTTTAATATATTAGTTGGAATGCTTAATCATCACTACAAGGTAGGCCATCGATCTGCATTGCGAGTATTGTTCGATCCATTATACAAAATAATTTATAGATACGTAAAAAATGAGAGTCTATTGTAGATAATTCACGATTAACTTTTTTTACATAATGCATATAAATGACATTTTTCTCATCGATTATTCTAGTTTCACGCATTGTACTTTGTTTCGTATACACTTACGATGACCGGCATATACATATACGCGATAAAAAGAACACCGATATCATCAAATTCCCGAAGGCAGCATATCGAACCGCCTATTCCAGACTACAGGTAAAGTTTAACAGGCGTTAAATAATATGAACTGATTATCGATATTTCCGAAATAAATAATAAAGCGTTTAAAGTGATGATAATATGAGTTTTAAATATTCTAAATATTTTAATAATTTAAAATAATTAAAGACACATGTCCCATCCTGACGTCGGCGAGGTGGAGATGGCCACGAGCTCCGGAATGTCCGGAGTAAGCGGCACCCTCGATATCAGAGCGTCCACCCTCGGCAGCGAAAGGGAGACAATGGACGCAACGAGCCTACCCCTAAGCGTTAGCTCCGACACGGCCTTCACCTCTTTCTATGGCAGTCAGGCGAATTTGAAGGTAGCATCAAGATCGATGCCACGCGTATCCTCCAATTCGTATTTCGATACGAAAAGCTCGTCCTGATGTCTGTCGGGGACGAACTTGACACGGGTTCAAGGTTCAGGTGATCTCACGGATATCCGAGGCAAATGGAATCCGCGTAATTAAACGATTTCTCTGTCCATTTTCAATAATATGATTTTACATTCCGTTGTACTTTACAATTTAACTTTAACTTTACGTTTAACTTTACAATTTACAGTAAGAAAAATTGTTAGATTTATTTTCCAAAAGCAGCTTTGGGAATATATACAAAAAATTGCATAATGTTATTAATTAACATAAGAGCAGCAAAATTGAATGATACATACAATTAGAATAAACTTTTAAATACCATTATAAATATATTTGATGATACATTCGATATAACATATGCAACGATGAATATATCACGTCAATATATCTACAGTCTACAAAAATAATTTTTCAACTCGCGCAATCATTTATTTGCCTCTGATAGCGTGATTTCTTTATTTGGAGAGATGTAAATGAAATCTGTGACGGTTTCAGGCTGCGAACGGGAAGAGCGATTCTGCCTGTAATTAATAAGCGGAAGGAAACAACTGCCTAGAATAGAATATCGCGCGATCCCTTCGATCAAAATGCAACATTTCTCAATATGGGGCTCTTAAAGAGATTTAAAAAAGTGTTTATATATCGACACGATAATTATACAAACTAGCACACAATATAAAAACTCTTCTTTTGATAAATGTATAAAATTATTAAAAATATTAATTAAATTTTACAAACAGTTACCATCTTTAAGATATTAATTCAAAATATTTGATATGACATTATTTATTTGTTTAGTATAAATATTTTACTTAATAAATAAATATTATATAAATAAATTTACTTAATAAATAAATAAATATATATATATATATATATATATATATATAAAAGTATATAAGTAGATATATGTATTATTTAAATAAATATAAAATTTTTCATATATTATTAAGTTACTACTATTATTAAATATTTCTAATTATTAAATATTTCTAATATTTTTAATTGTTACATTTTTATATGAAATTTATAATCAGACCATATTTTCAATAATTAAAATTAAATTTTGATATCATAACCATTAGTTAGATTCTGATAAAAATAAAAAAATAAAAAAATAAAAAATAATTTAATTTATAATCAATTAAAATAATTAAGATGAATAATTTTGTATTGTATGTTAATTTAATTAAAATATTGAATCAAGTTTAAAAACGGCTATAAAATCAAAAGATTCAAAATTAGATATTCATTGTAATCAAAAACATTTTCAGAATTGTTTATATACATGTGAGCTAATTTTGTAAAAAACGAAACGTGCCAAAGATCAAGATTTATTAGCACTCGAATTGTAAATTTAGAAAAATGTGAATGCGAAAAACTTATACTGATTTTACGTACATTGTATACTCATTTTTTCACTTAAATTTTTTATATTAACACGAATTATCTTCGTGGACATTTGTTATAACTATTACAATCAATATATTATAGTATATATAGAGATATTTATAAGTTACAATATGATAACACGAGTTAATCGAGAAAGAAAATTTTAGATAATCTGCGGCAGACTTGATAATTAATATAAACGTAATTAATACGGTCAGTGTAAAATGACTTCGTAACTGTGCAACATTTATATTCTTCTATTACAATAGATCTTCTATTACATATGATTTGCAACATCATCACATGAACATCATCACATCAATATAAATAACAATTAAAATAATATACTTATTTATATTTCGCTATATTTCATTCGTAATATTAAAATATAATAACGAAAATCTTCTGATGCAAAAACTAATGATCTCATCGATAATTTTTTTTTGGTTGAAATAATCGTAATGAAATCCCGATGGATTTACACAGGGTGAGCAGAAAATCTAAACTCGACGCAATTCTAATCTGATTGTTACACGTTACTCATATATATTATCACAATTATTCAATTAATCTTGTAATAAGTAGCTAATATACAAATAAGAATACTCGAAAATGAGGTGCTAATTTAAAACAACAATTTCCTATATTAAATATAGTTGATTGTCTACTTTAACTATATGAAATGTGTTCACAATATTTTATTCACAGATTTTATGATATATGAAAAATTAATTAATGATATACACTTATATACACAATACTCTCTTATGCACAAAAAATCTCATTTCGTATACTATTATCACATGTACGCGAGGCAACAATAATTTCGTTTCATCATTATTCACTTAAATCATATTAAATGGAAACAATTGATAGATATAGGATCATTATATGTATGTTTAAATACTAGCTTACTATTATTAATATTTGTATATATATTTTATTTATTGTCGCAATATTTATATATTTGTTATTTGGAAAAGTTTATGCATTTGTATATTTAAAAAAAATAATTTTTATATATTCTTATTGTTTGGAAATCTTCCAATTAAGATGAAGCATATTATAATTAATGTAGTATTTTTTAATGTATCTTTTTAAGATCATCTTAAGATTAAAATGGAGTCAAAATTATTAATAGAGAACTACTGTTGTTTCTATAGAAAAATTATAAATAAACATTTTCAATATATTTGTAACTTTAGATTCTAATAGATTGCAAATAATGCTCAGAGAATTCACAATAGTGTTTATTATATCCACTGTGGTGTTGTCTCAAATAGAAATCGTCTATAATTTTCTCTAATAAAATATTGTTTTATATTAAAGATATTGTGACTATATAGATATTACATATATAACAATATCTATAATATATATTAAATACAAATTAATTCATTTATGTTAAAATATTTATATAAAAATTATATAAAAAAATCTTTATTTTTACATTCTTTAAAATGCATTATAAATTATATAGTATTATTATATATATAATTTGTAAAGACTGAGACTGTGACAATGAGTTGTAGCAATAGTGAACTTATCTCTCATCCCTTCTTAGATTATAATCTTGCTCATAATGTAGACGAAAAAAATAATAATAAAGTTGGAGTTTTTGAAATTAAATTACTGGAAATTTTAATTTATCTAATTATTCTCCTAAACTTTGTCTCTAGAGGTTTAAATTCTCGCATGTTTCAAATCGTTAAATCTAGAATTTTAGAAATTCTTTTACTCACGATTCTTAATAAAAATTCACCTTACCTTATTTATTATTGATGATATTCTGTATGTAATTAATTATATATACACTTCTTAAACTTATGCTACACGTATGTTAAATGTAAAACTGTCAAACACTCAAATTGTCAGATTACTTTTTACGAACTGCGTATCCATTTTCGTATTCAGTCATGATACACGAGTATCTAGATAGGCTGTACCACGTGACTGAGTATATTCATAGATAGCGTAACGTATGTAAAACCGACGAACCAATCACTGTTGCATAATGTCCAGAGAAGTTAAAATTGATTGGCTATCGCAAAGATTATGTGCTTTTGCTGATGTATGAATGCACATGCAGAAGCAAAACTGTATATATTATGATCATAGTGTTTATTAGAAGCTCATTTTCTGCAACACAGTTCATGTATGTGTGATTCCAACGTGATATCATGTTGCAATGGCGGGTTCTATAGAGATACCACTTCGCGATACAGATGAGGTGAATATTCATTTTCTAACGATAATATTGTTAATTTACGAGTATCGTAACGAGATTTTGATAATAATAAAAATATGCGAATTACGTAAAATATGAGTTTTTCTCGACAATCAGCAATATCTCTAAGCTTAACCTCAACAACAGTATATTTCATAAGTGAAGAAAACGACCAGAGAATTTATGTATATATATGCAACAGGACTGTAATATTTTGTTTTAAAATGATATTGCTTCAATAGTTTGGCATTAATCAATCATTCTTATGAAACCTAAAAAAATAATATGACAATTTATTTTATATTGTCACGATATTATTTGTTATTTATCTAGAAAAGATTATTTATTTGTATACTTTAGATTTACTTATATTAGATATGTATGTGAACGCATTTTCCAATCTTCTGTATTTATAATAATTGTATTTTGCGTATCAGTATATAACTAAATTATGCATATGAGTTCATATATTTGAGAAACATAATTTAATATAAAAGTTACCTTGTCATTTCTTTTTATTTCCATATGTTACAGTTTAAATATTATTTTGTCAAACACTATATATATTTTGATATCATATGCAATATGAATTCTAATGTCTGAACTTAATAAAATATAATAACTTATTTTACTTATTATTATTACTTGTAGAAAAATGATAGAGGTTCAAGTAATTAATATATATATAAATATATATATATATAACATATGTAATTTATTGAATCTTAATTGTTTCTGTTTATTTTAAAATCTCATAGGTTATAGAACTTTATTTAGACCAGTTACCAGATGGAGATGAAGTTCTGGGGATTTTGCGGCAAGAACATGCCCAACTTACTATCTGGGTCAATTTGGCCGTATGTATACAACAGATAATTAAAATAAATATATACAATAGTATATAATTTACTTTACATAATAAATTTGTTTTTCTTTTTAGCTTGAGTATTATAAACAACAGAAGATTGAAGATTTTATTAAGATACTTGAATCTTCTCGTATTGATGCAAATATTGATTACCGTGACTATGAAAAAGATCAAATGCGAGCTCTTGACATGTTGGCTGCCTATTATGTCCAGGAAGCCAATAAAGAAAAGAATAAAGACAAGAAAAGAGATCTCTTTACAAAAGCGACATTATTGTATACAACAGCTGACAAGATCATCATGTATGATCAGGTATGTATTAGTTCTATAGATATATATTAGTATTTAACATTCATAAGTTTTTATATTTATTATTTATGATTGTTACAGAATCATTTGCTCGGCCGAGCTTATTTCTGTTTGCTTGAGGGTGATAAAATGGAACAGGCTGATGCACAATTCAATTTTGTGTTGAATCAGTCACCAAATAATATACCTTCTTTACTTGGTAAAGCCTGCATTGCCTTTAACAAAAAAGACTACAGAGGTGCTCTTGCATTTTATAAGAAAGCTCTGAGAACTAATCCACACTGTCCAGCCGCTGTTAGATTAGGAATGGGGCATTGTTTTATGAAATTGAACAATCAAGAAAAAGCGCGACTCGCGTTCGAAAGAGCTTTGCAGTTGGATGGACAATGTGTTGGTGCACTTGTCGGGCTTTCAGTTTTGAAACTAAATCAACAACAGCCCGACAGCATAAAAACTGGTGTGCAGATGTTATCAAAGGCTTACACGATTGACTCGACAAATCCGATGGTATTAAATCACTTGGCAAACCATTTCTTTTTCAAGAAGGATTACAGTAAAGTTCAGCATTTAGCGTTGCATGCATTTCATAATACGGAAAACGAAGCCATGCGGGCAGAAAGTTGCTATCAGTTAGCCAGAGCATTCCATGTTCAAGTAAGTCATAAAGTATTAATGTGGTTAAAAATATTTTAACCAATTATACTTTTATCGTCCAATAACTAAGTAAAAATATTTCAGAATGATTATGATCAAGCGTTTCAATATTATTATCAAGCAACACAATTCGCTCCACCTGTATTTGTATTACCACATTTTGGTCTAGGACAAATGTACGTTTATCGTGGTGATGCAGAGAATGTAAGAACACTAATACTATACGCTCATCAAAACT